CCATCTGTCAGCCATAAGGCCCTAACATTTTTAAAAAAGAAGCAAAGTGAGAATAATGATAAAAAATCGTTCTGACTAAAAATTTAAAAAATTTTATTGGAAAGAAAAAAAATATCTAAAAAAAGCAAAAAATAAAAAAAAATACTTCTCAAGTCAATTTAATTGAAAAAAATTTTTTAATTCAATAATAGAAAAATAAAAAAAATATTATTTAAATATTATTAAAAAATTAAATTAAAAACCCTAACTTAATAAAAACAAAATAACTTATTATTTTGTAAAAAAAATTTTTCTTTCCAAATTTTTAAATTAAATTTAAAGAAAAAAAACAAAAAAAAAACTTGTGTCTTAACTAATAAAACAAAAAAGCATTAGAAATAACTTTTACTTGAAGCATTTTTATTATGTTATAAAAAAAATAACTGCGCCATAAAAACCTCTCTATGTTTCTAGCACATATTCATTCAATTTTCTTTCAAAAAAATTTTTTCCCAATTTTTTCTCAGTTTTTTCCCTTGCTTTTTTGATTATTTTATATTATAATAAATCTAAAAAGCATTTCCCCGCATTTTCCAAACTAATAAAATATGTATTTTTTCAGTTATTTTTTTGATGGGTTTTATTTGAAGAGATGAAGAAGAGAAAAAATAAAAATAACAGAAAAAAGGAGAAGCATTTCCTGTTATTTTTTAAAAAATTAATTTTTACACCTACACCAAATTTAAAATAAATTATAGTACCCCAAACATTATTTCCAGCCCTTTTTTTGTTCTCAAAAATTTTTCCTTATTAAATTTTAAAATAAAAATAGGTACCATAATACTACAACAATTACACTAGCTAATTTTAATCAAATTAGCTTAGTAGCTTATATAAAATAAAAAATAAAATAAAATTTTGGAAAAAATATGTATTAAACAGAGGAAAAAATAAACTTAATAAAATGCAGAAAAACCGGAAATAACCAAAAAAACACAAAAAAACTCAAAAAAATTGTTCTTTATTTTTCAAAGAATAAATACCAAAAATGGCCTATAAAACAAATAAGGAAACTCTTAAAATAAGACGAAAAAAGCAGGTGGTACTAAAAAAGGGAAAAAACGAGGAATAGACAAGAATTATAAAAGATGAGTTTAATTAGCATTTTATTGTTGGAATAAAGGAATAATAATATAAAATTAATTAGGTATATATACTTAATTTTAGTTTTTTATGGTGATATAATAATATCAAAGATGAATTTGAATAATTCCCAAATGAATTAATTATAAAAGGGAAGAAGAATTATATATATATGTAAAAAATTTATAAATGTGACCGGAATTGCCCAAACTATATATTGAGATGATTAGAGTATACAGTCAAATCTCACTGAAGGATATACACAATATTAGATATCAAGGGAACGTGCCGACAAAGAAAATAAAGTCACGAATATAGAATAGATTCGTCAAAAAACGTCGTGACTTGCTGATTTTTGTGAATAAAAAATCATGTTTACTAATAGACACCATGGGTGTTCCGAGTTTACAAAATTTAAAGAAATATTTAAAAAAACATATAGATTTTTGGGTAGCTTCGAGCTATACCCTTGACCCTACCTATACGTGACTATAGTCTAATCACCGATTTTTGGGAATTTAATCATAACTAAAAAGTTTAACCATTATTATAACAAATATAATTAACCCAAATTAGCTTAAAAAGTGAAGGTGGTAGGTAAAAATGCAAGTTATTCATTTTCAAATTAAATATAAACTAAAACGCATTTTTAGCAAGTTTTTTTTTCAAGTTTTCTTAGAAGGAAAAAAATGCTAATTTTTTTATCCATATTTAAATATATTTGGAGGAAGCATTTAAAGAATATATAAATGGAAAAAAATAAAGAACAATTAAAAATAAAAGAATTTCTATATCAGGCTTATATTTTGCTAAAATTAAATGGCAAATTATACATATTTATAAGAAACATATCGTGAAAATAAAAAATATAAAGAAAAGTTGCAAAAAACTAAAATTATATTATACATATGTATTGACAGCCGATCCCATAATTTAATGAAATAAATGGACATTTGATCCCAAAAAGTTTTATGAACATGACTATAAATAATTTTGATCTATTTTCCCTTTCATAAAATAATTTTAAAGAATTTGGTTCCTTAAAAATAGTGTTGGTAGACATTTAATCCCACTATATACAAAAATATTTAATTAAATTCAAAACGGATTGAGTCATTTTTTAATATTATGTAATAAACTAATAATAAATTTTTTCCCCATATTTCTCCCCTTTAATTAAACCAAAAAATTATTTTTCCCTGTTTCCGTCATCAAACGCGTCAATTTTTTGCAACTTTGCATAAATTATTTAATTGCTTCTTTAAGGGGCTTCCAAAATTATTTTGTTATTACGCATGTTTAGATAACAACCAAAAATGATTTAAAAATTAGTTAAATTATTTAAAGAAATAAAAAATAAATTTTTTTTGAAAATATTAAAAATTAAATTATACGAGTAAAGAAGGAAAAATGATGATGTCAAAAATTTTAAAAATCAAAAATTTATTTATGGAAAAAAATAAAAAAGTTCCTCATTTAAAAATTGTTTGTTGCCTACATAGCAATTATCAAAAAATTAAAAAAATATAATTTTAAAAATTTCTGACAGAAGATTTAATTAATGACGAAAAATTATAAAATTCAAAAGATTATAAATAGTAAAATATAATTTCTAGGTTGCAAACCAAATTACGTGATTTTATATTTTTTAATATTATTTAAAATTGAAATATACTCCTTTTTTAGTTTTTTAAATGATAATTTAATAAATTAAAAAAAATTTAAAATCACGCAATTAAATTGAGAAAAGTAATCTTAATGGTTGTTAACCCCCTAAGAAGTTCATAAGCCATACGGAAATATAGTTCGTTTAATGAACAATTTTTAGAAATTTTTTAGATACATTGTAAATTTGAAAAATACAAAAAATGAAAAATTGTGTTTTTGCAAAAAAAATTGAAAATAAAAATTATGTTGTATTTAGGAAGAAAAAAGAAAGAAACGTTATTTTAAAAAATTTAAAAAAAAAATTGTAATTGAAATAGCCTTATGTTTAACAGAAAAAAACAATATTTTCCTGATATAAATTTTCAAAAAACTTAGGATTGGGCGTTTTTCGGGAAAATAAATGAAGCAGGAAAATATGTATATTTAAAAATAAATAAATGATTTTTATAAGGTTTCAATTTATTCTCAAGAGTATAATAAAACACTAGACTTAATGACAAATTTAAAAATATATATCCAAGAAAAATAGAATAAGTACACCCACATCCACGAATCCGTGCCTATTTATGTTATTATTAGAATTATAGTTCAAATGATGTGATAAAATAATATTAAGAATATATATAAGGTATATAAGGTATATAAGGTATTTAGTCAAATAATTACCCTTAGCAATTATTGCTTCAACCTCTCGCTTGAAGGAGTAATTAATAGAGAGGGGATAATTATTTGAGGTTATTTTAGAAAGGCTAATTAAAAGGCCTAAAGAAAAAAAAGCTAATTCTAAAAAAAAAGCTAATTCTAAGTTTTGTGTAAATACGATAAAAATAATAATAAACGACAAAAAATAATAAAATTTAAAGTTAAGCTTATTTTTCACATTTAAATTAATAATTAAATTAACAAGACAGAAAATTTCAATTAAAAACCTACAAATAATTAAATACAAACAAAATTAAATGTCTGAGAAAATAGTTTATTTTTTCAATTTTCTGTCATGTTTTAAATATTATTTAAAAAATAAATCCACCTGACGCAATTGTCCGTATTGAGTAAATGACACCAATATTGAGACACAAATTCTTGACCAAAAAAAAAATAAATTATGTTGATAAATCAGTTCAAATAGTGTTGTTAATATTAAATATAAAATTTAATTTTCCATAAACTAAAAATCTTTTAAAAATTAAAATTAAAAAATAAAAATTATTTTCAAGTAAATAACTGGCAATTTAACCAACAAAACACAAATTAATTATTTAAAATAAAAGTTTATTTAATAGTCGGTGCCCTTGGGAAAATGTGCGTGCATATTATTTTTTAAAAATAAAGGGTAAAAAAAGAGAAATTTTTTTTGATTAGAGCAAAATCTCTTTAATTTCCACTATCTTTAAAATTTAAAAAAATTGTAAATGTAACAAATAAGCAGGTGATATTCTATGGGAAAAGGTGAATGTTTGCGTGTTTTGTTAGACAAAGACGTTATTGACAAAGCACAGGTAGAAATGATACAATTAAATGAAAAATAAGGGCTTTAATATATAAAATATTTTCGGAAAACAAATATAGAAATTGTTCCGGTTCCTATAAAGCATAATTTCCGGAAAATAACTATAGAAAATTATTGCGGTTTTTATAGAAAATAGAATCCGGAAAAGATATACAAATTGTTCCGGTTTTTATAGAAAATAAATTCCGGAAAAAGAAAATATGTAGAAGTATTTTCCGGAAAACAGATATATTTTGACCTTTCCGGAAAATATTAATTAATACTTCATAAAACAATTTCTGAACTTTACGGAAAACATTTACAAGTGCTTTTATAGTAAAAGAAAAAGACTAGTTATAAACATAAACATGTTGTGAGATTGCATGTATTACGACTCCAATTATTTTTCATTTGTTTGTTTTAAAAGTGAATTACTAGCTTACTTAAAACATTAAAGTTCATTTTTTTAAACAAACAAAAAATGTTTCCAATGAATTTGAAATAAACAAAATTTAATTATTAAGTAAAAAGTGTCTAGAAAAAATATTGCAAATTCTCACAACAGGTGAATAATTCAATTAAAATTAAAAACTAATTTCCAAGTAATTTTTTAAAGCCTAAAATTCAGTTAAAAAATATTTTCAAAAAAATTAAAAGACTAGGGAAACAAGGAAAATTTGGAAAAAAAAATTTTAAAAATTTTTCACGTCAATTTTCAGTCTCATCCAGCCAGTAACAATTCAATAGAATGAAATACATGTAAAGTTGAGTGTTTTGGATTGGAATGTTTTTGACACTTTTGTTGTTCTTTATTTTTTGTTTTTTGAGTAGACTGAGATGTTGACTGGACAAAATCTTTAAAATTAAAAATTTTTAAAAAATATTTTTTAATTTTTTTATAATTTATCCCCCAGTCATTGTAAATTTTTTCTAATTTTTATTTCCTTCAACCGGCCAAGTGCCTTTTTGATTTATTACATAAAAATTCCCAGATTTCCCCGTGTTTCTAATTTTGTTATTTTTTATATTCCAAACACTTTAGAAAATACATATGGACATAAATAATGTTTTTAGTGGAAGAAAATTGAAAAAAAATATTGAAAAATGTTTTTTAAGGAAAAATGACATTTCCGTTTAAAAGGAGTCACTTTTTAATTAAAATTTTAAAAAATTTTTTAAACCTACTCGAAGTAGACACCTTGTCCAAAGCTTCATTATTGATACATTTCTCAACATTTTCAGGATTTTGATGTTCATTGTCATTTTCCTTGCGTATTTGCCGTTCAATTCTGTCCAGAAAACGTCTCTTCATGTTCAACGAACAGAGGGAACACCTTTAAAAAATTTTCACAAATTAAAAAAAAAATATTTTTAAAATCACATGCAGTCACGATTTGGACATTTTTGCTTATGCCCCTTCTTTGGCTGATTGTATTGACCACTAAAAAATTTTTGAAAAAAATTTAGACTTATAAAAACAAATAAAACTGACTGATTCGCGCAAAGTTGACACATATACAAGTCTTTTGGCATTTTTGGAAGAAATAAGAAGTCCAATTTTTAAGGTCAATTCATTTTATTTTATCCACCAAAAAGTGTTGTTTTTTCAGTGTCAATCTGTTGTTGTCTTTTTTGCCCATCTCCGCCCACTTTGTCAAATTTTTTGCGTCCAAAAGCAATTAAAAAATAAAAGATAACATTCTAAATTTAAAAAAATAATTTAAAACATTTAAACTTAAAATTGAATCAGAGTTCCTTCACAGAAAAGTGAGAGAAAAAAAGAAATTGGACCAAATGTCATTTAAATAAAAAAAAATAAACATTATGCCAAAGAAGAAAAAACTCAAAAAAATTTTTTTTCATTAAAATTCATTTCTTGTTTTGACAAATTATAAAGGAAATCTTTACACATTTTTAAAAATTTTCAGTTGTATAGTACAATGACTTCTTCTAAATTTATTTTTGTTACTCGCGATAACAACGAAATTCAAATTCCACCACAATTTTGCGATAAAATTGCTTTTATTAAAAATTTTGTTGATACTTATGAAAATGTTAAAAGTATGATTTAAATTAATTATTTTTAATCAATTTTTTCACATTTTTAGAAATTCAAATTCCATTAAATGCACCAAAAACGGGGAAAGAACAATTGGAAATAATTATCAAATTTTTGGAGGCTTTGGAAGCTAATAAGGCTTTTGATGAGGAATTTGATAAGAGCAATCAACCAGGAGATGAAACGGTTTATTTTTGATTTTTTGGGATTTTATTAGGGAAGGGGATTTTTAGAAATCAAGGGTGGAGTAATTTTCGATCCATTGATCCAAGCTGGTCTCCACTGACCCAATCAAGACCCTAGACAAATTCTAAGACACCTCTAAATGAAAGATTAAGATCAACTTTTAAAATAGAAACTTGAACAAAGCCTTTGATCCGGGCCGAAACTCCAGAATGTTCATTGCTGGGTTCAGGATGCAGGAGAAACCCAGCCCTTGTTTCAGACCAGCAATGGGCCCTTCCGTCTTCTTATTGTTAGAAGCGAAAGGCTGAAGAAAATAAGGAAGACGGAAACAGAGGAGGTTCCATCACTGGGTACAGACCAACCTGTTTTCTTAGACCCTTTTCCTAAGCTCAAACTAAACTCTTCCACTTTTTTAGAACACCCGAGCTCGATCAAATTCTCTGTCAAACAATTTATGGATAAAGAATTTCTTCGACAAATATCAACGTTCTCAGCTTTTTGAAGCAATCGAATCTGCAAATTTTTTGGGAGTTGTTGACTTTGTTGATCCTCTAGCTGAATATATTGCTCAAAAAATTACACAAATAAAAAGTACTAATGAAATGACCGAATTTTTGGGATATCCAATGGAAGAAGAAATGAAGGAATTATTTGAAAAATTTGAGAAGGAAAATGAAAAAGCTCATCAACAACAAAAAGAAAAGGAAGAGAAAGAAGCTTTGAAAATGAAAGAGGAAGAAGAGAAACGATTAAAAGCTGAAGAAGCTTGGTCTGAAGCTTTAAATGAGCCTGATGCTAAAAATGATGATGACGATGATATTGGTTTGCCTTAAAAATTGAGAAAAAAAGATTTGTTTTTTTGTTAAGGTTTGTGGAAAAATATATTTATTTAAAAAAAATCCCAGAGATTTAACTACATATAATAGTTGTTGTTATAGTAATTTATTGAAAAATTTTTGCTTTGAATTATTTTAAGAAAAATCAATTATGGTCCGAATCTCGGGGATGTTACTGGTTGAAAAAAAGACGGAATGGGTTTCCTCAAAAATTTTCTAAAGGTTTCGGGTCCAACAATATCTTTTTTGGTGTTCAAAAAATGAATTGGAGAACCAAAAGAAAAAAAACTTGACCCCTTTGGAGGACCACAATTGATTTTTTCTAACATCAATCACTTTATTTATCATTTTTGAAAAATATATCATTCTCGTTTTGATTTATTAAATATTAAAAAAAAATTTTTTTTAATTAATGCAAGTAGAGACCGGGCCGAGACAGGATCTCTAATGAAAATCTCGGTTATCGAAAGCAATACTTTCCGAAATCTCATTTCTTATACAACTAGAGATCGGCCTGGGCCTGGACCAAGGTCTAGGTTTTTCCTGGACTACACAGGCCCAGGTCAATAAATCAAACCCGGAACTAGGAACAGGCCCAGGCTTTTCTAAAATATCAATCTCTACAAACAACCCTTCCAATCCGGTCTCTATTTTTAAGACGACCAAGTTTGGAAATAGTGTAAATTTCAAAAAATTGTAAAATTTTGTCAACATATAGAAAATTTAGTAATACACATTAATTTCTTTGTAATCACAGGAAGGGGAGGGGGCATCTATAAATATAAACAAATTAAAAATTAAAACCCTCAATTGTCACATTATTCTTCTTCAATCTTTTTAAGATTAACCAAACAAAAGTTTTTTGGTACACTTTGTCCAATAGAACAATTTATTGAATCCACAATTGCGTCAAATGGTGCTCTAAAAAATATTTTTCCAATTTTTAAAATTAAAAAAAACCTAATTAAATATTCCATTTTCATAGCATTCAAGGCTACTAAACTTTGATTTTTTTCTACTTTATCCCCAACATTTACAAGCAATTTTTCAACAATTCCAGGCATTGGAGATTTTGGGTTTCCATCAATTTCTGATGTTCCTAAAAATTCTTCCGAGTCAAAAACCTCTTCATCCAAAGAAATAGAATTCCAAGTAGAATGTCCAGAACCAAAAACCTTTAAAAGAAATAATTTCAAAAATTCTTCAAAAAAATAATTAAATTCCTAAAAAATTCGAAAATTTCAAGTAAATTGACAAAAAAAATTTTAAATCAAAAATAAAAAAATTTTTTTAGTTCAAAAATTACTTGAGAAAAATTTCCAAAAAAAAATTAAAAGTAACCGCGATTTTTTCATTCATTTTAACAGCTTTACATTTCCATCTTTTACATCCTTTGGAGACTAATTCAATTTTAAATTCAATTCCATTTTTAAAGGTTTTTGAAGTTTTAAATTTATTTATTTCTGAAATTAATATTTCTTCTTCTATCTTTCCACTTTCTTCATTTTCCAAATTTCCTTCAATTTTATATTTATTATTTCCCAAAATTTCAACAGTTAATGTTTTGCTGCCTAAATTAATTGTTCTTTTTGCTTTTTGATTAAGGCGAAAATAGGGGAGTAAAAGAAAAGGATTTGAAGTTGTTGAAGAATTTGGTGTCTGAAAAATAAGAAAAATTATTTTATGGAAAATCAGAATTTTTCAGAAAATCAGAATAATTCTAACACGAAAATTCAGCATAAATTCTTATTTATTCTGATAAAAAAATCAGAATTTATTTTTCAGAAAAATCAGAATTTTGTAAAATCAGAAAATTCTGATTTTAAAAAGGCTTGAAATTCTGATTTGTTTCTGATTTTAATTTTTAAATTCTGTTTTTTAAATCTGAAAAATCAGAATATTCTGATTCAAAAAATTGGATTTTTTCGGAAAATCAGAATTTTTGATGAATTCTGATTTTTATGGAAATCAGAATTTATTTTATACAATGCTTTCCCCTAAAGGATTTTTCCTACCAAAAGACCAGAAATTAAAAATAAAAACCTTACATCCAACAACACAAAAGCAATAGCCGATTCCAAAAGAACATAAAAATCATTTTCCTTCTTCATCAATTCATTGATATGTTCAGGTATAAAATCAGTGTATAAATCACCAGACAAGAATTTTTCATGTTTTAAACAACTCCGAACAAATTCAACATTATTAAAAATTCCTCCAATTTGTGTTTGATTTAAAGCATTTTCCAATTTAAAAATTGCTTCTTCCCTCGTTTTTCCTTTTGCTATTATTTTTGCGATCATTGGGTCATAAAAGACAGTCACTTCATCTCCTTGTCTTATACCAGAGTCAACGCGAACGTTTTTAGGGAATTGTAGATATTCGAGAGTGCCTGCTGTTGGCATAAAATTTGCTTGACTGTCTTCTGCATAAATTCGGGCCTTTGAATTTTTTGTGAATTTAACAAAATAAAACTAAAAATTAACCTCAATGGCATGATCAATTAATTTAATTTCTTCTTGTTTCATTGGAAGTTGTTCACCAGCAGCTACTCTAAATTGCCATTCTACCAAATCTAGATTGGTGATCGCCTTAAAATAAAATTGAAATTAAAGATTGAAATTTTTAAATTATGAACATGATTTTTAGGACCTTCACCAGAAACTTGACCTTGAGTCAAGAAAAAAGCAAGGTAAAGGAAAAATCAGGAAAAACTGAAAAATGTCTTGATCTTGACTCTGAATCCAGGAAAAAGCAAAGTCGGGATCCAGATCATGATCCAGGCCAATCTCTAGTTGAAATATGTGTTCGGCAGTTTGGTATTCCCGAACCTGTACCGAACAGATTTTGGAAAATTTTGGTAGATTACGATACCGGTTTTCATCTGGACTGCAAATACGAGAACCGGAAAAGTCATTTGCCGAAGACTATTTATAATTATTATAAAAGAAAAACCTCAGTCACAGGATGCTCCACTTGAAGACGAGTATTCATTTCCATAAAATAAAATTGCTCGGATTCCGTGTCAAAAATAAATTCAACAGTCCCAGCACCAACATACTTTACTGCTGCCGCGGCATTTACAGCTGTACGACCAAGCCAATGACGCGTCTCAAAAGACAACCCAGGGGCAGGTGCTTCCTCAATAATTTTTTGATGTCTACGCTGTTAAAAAATTAAATAAATAAGATTAAAAAAATAACCTTTCATACTTGAATGCTGCAATCTCTTTCCCAAAGATAAACATAATTTCCGTGCATATCACCAAAAATTTGAACCTCCACCTAAAAAAATTTTTTCAGAAAAATTTTTTCAAAATTAAAATCTAACGTGTCTAGGCCTTGTAACAAACTTCTCCAAAATCATGTCTGTGTTGCCAAACGACTTTTGGGCTTCAGAACGGGCCGATTCCAACGATTCGAGAAAATCCTTCTCTGACCAGGCTATACGCATTCCTTTCCCTCCGCCCTGAAACTTTAGTTTAAAGAGACAATTTTTAGATTATCCTAACCCCACAAACAGCCTTCATCATAACAGGAAAGCCTGCAATCAAATAAAAACTATGAAAAGTAAATAATGGCACTGATGTCGTTTCCCTCACCACCGAATTTTTCTTAAATTGTAAATAAAGATCAGACTCTTTAACTTCCCCCTAGCATTATTCAACCAGTCTTCATCACTCCTGTAAGAAAACTGACAGAATGAATAAAGCTACAAGTAAATGAGCAAAACTGACAAAATTGAATAATGTACAGGGAAAGAAAATGAATTTATGGAAGGAAAAAATCCTGAGAATTTACGCTACGTACAGATACTTTTTTAAAATAAATGGGGGAAGAGAACCGACAAAAGCACAATTAATAAATAAAATTCAAACCTATTTGTTTTGCCTCTTCCAACAAATTTTCTTCTTCTTGATTCGAGCCATTATATCCTTGAATGACCGGAACTCCCGCCTAAATTTTTTGTTTTTCAAGCAAAATTAATTAAATACCTCAATCATTATTTGTTTTGCTTTGTTTTTCATTCCCATATCATATATTGCTGAAGGTGGTGGGCCAATAAAAATAATGTTGTTTGAGGTACAGAGTTGAGCAAATTGTGAATTTTCGCTTAGAAAGCCATAACCAGGGTGAATTGAATCGGCCTGGGCAAGTTTGGCAATTTCAATGATTTTGTCACTATTAAGGTAGCTTTGTGAGGGAGTTGCTGGGCCAATCCGATATGAGGAGTCCGCAAGAGAAGCATGCAAAGAATTTGCATCGACGTCGGAATAGACTGCGACAGTCTTGAATTTTTAAGAGTTTAAGAAGAAAAATAAAAAAGAAACCTCAATTCCCATCATTTTTGCCGTTCGCATGACCTGAAAAAACAAAAAATAAAAATTTTCTGTACAAAATTCTTACCCTGACAGCAATTTCGCCTCTATTGGCAATTAACACTTTTTTGAGCCGATTTGAATGTGACTGTCGTATGAAGCATAGATTTGAAGAATTATAGGAAATTAGACGAAAATTGAGAAGGGAAAGCATGGAATACATTGTAAATTCTGAAAATTCGAAAAAAATGAGAAAATTTTCAGCTGACTGCCTCGAAAAAATTAAAAATTTTTAAATTTTGGCGTTAATAACATAACGCCAAATTTATGTTCAAAAATATTTTTAAAAGTTTGGCTTCACTTTTTATCGATTTTTTGATTAGATTTGGGTTGTTTTGCTTTTGTGATTGTTTGTTATCTGTTTGTTTTTGTTTGGGGGTTTTTTTCGTTTTTCGTGTTTCTTTGTGTTTGTTTCGTGTTTCTTTTGTTTAATCTCTTTATCTTTTATCATTTATCACTTCTCTTCTATTTTTCTAAAGCGCGCGAGGCAAAAAATGCGAAAAAAACTTAAAAAAGCTAAAAAAAATTTTCAAAATTAGAAATTTTTTTCAACTTTTTTTCTTATAGGCTGGCAGCTGCTCAACATGGTGGTACGTCTTTGAGCGAAATTTTTTGACTGATTTTTCAAAATGTTTTTTTTTTCAAGATGATGTGCAACTGTGGCAGCATGAAATCTGGTTGGATTGGTCTGGTTGACTTTTTAAAAATTTTTTAATTTAAAATTTTTAAATTAAATATAAAATTTTATTTTTGAGATTTGGGGGCTTTCAGCTTTTGGATGGTGGAAGAACATGCTTTTGGAGGATGGAAGAATATGCCTTGGATGGATGGTGGAAGAATATAGTGTGGTGTGGTTTTTAAAAAAATTTTTATTTTTTAATTAAAAAATTTTAAATTAAATTTTTGATTTTTAAGTTGTGTGGCTTTCAGTTGCTGTGTGGTGGAATGGAAGAATATGCTACTGGGTGGTGGAAGGAATATGGGCTGGTGTGGTTCTTAAAATTTTTTTATATTTTTTTAAAAATTTTAATTAAAAAATTAAATTTTTTGATTTTTTAGAGATTTCGGGGCTTTCAGCTGTTGGGTGGTGGAAGAATATGCCGTTGAATGTTGGAAGAATATGCATTGGATGGTGGAAGAATATGCTTTTGGTGGTGGAGGAAGAGGCTCATTTTGGATGTAAGTTTGCTCTGATTTTGAAAAAAAAAACAAAAATTTGCGAGCTAAAAATTTTTGCGCAAATGCGATCTTTTCTCATCTCATTCTTCTCTTTCATTTCTCTTCTTTTTTTTCAAATTTAGCAGATCAACCCGTCTTCAATTGTGGTAGGCATGGATGGGATTTTCAACAACACCAGAATATGGACGGCAACTTTTTTGTTATCAAAATACGAAGAACGGGCCCCCTGATTTCCTGCGTCAAAAAAGTTTCAGTCCGTTTCGAAGCAGTGTTTTTAAAATAAAAATTTTTGGCATAATGTATTTTTTTCAAACATTTTTTCTCTCTCTTCTATTTCGATTTTTAGAGAAAAAAAGGAAAACGAGAGAAGAATTAAAAGTGGGACGAGAGAAAATCTTTTCGCTTCTCTTCTTCTTTCCTCCATTTGAGTCGATAATTTACCCATTTCAGTTTTAGTTGCTATTAAAATTTTTTTATTTTATTATGAGTGAGATTGCTGACCATCAATTTGAACCGGCTCCTGTGATTGATACAAATGACAGCGAGTTTAAAACGTTAGTTTTTAAAGCCTTGTTTGGGGGATTTCTTGTTAGACAATCTTTCGAGTTGTCAAACCGGAAATTTAGTCCTTGTTGAGTGACTCAAATTTGCGAAAAGCTTTGAGTACCTCAAAATTTTTTGGTTTCCATGTTGAGTACTTTGTTGAGTACCCACGTATTCGTACTAATTATGTTTCCTCGACAGACCGCCGATGGCTCCACTACAACAAGGATTGCAACAAGACATTACAACTCGACGAAACAGACCCAAGTATCTGTATGAAGGCGCTCTCTACGTTTACCATGGGATGAGCTCTAAAAAGGATGCAAAGTATTGGCGATGTGAATTTTTTAATGCAAGAGATATTAAATGCAGAGGTTTTTTCTTGTCTTAAATTTAAGTTTAACTGCTCTAGGACGTCTACACACTGATCTTAATGATGTTGTCATACGCCAAATTGGTGATCACGTTTGCAATCACAATGCTGCACGTGTTGAAGCACAACGAATCTTGTCTGGTATTAAGCGTCGTGCGATGGTCACAACAGAAAAACCTCTGCAAATTCGAAATCAGACGCTTCAGAATACTCCAATGGCTGTGGTTGCTGCGATGCCTAGCAAGGAGGCAACGAAAAGGGTTTATTTTTTAATGATGAAAGCCTCTGATAAACGTCATTTTAAAGATGATTAAACGTGCTCGTCGTGGAATTGATATGAACACATTATTGAATCCTCATGCTTGTCCTATATTTAAACAAGATAATGGAGATCATTATATGCCTGGGAATATGGTTTATACTGAAATTGATGGACAAAGGTTTGTTTTGCCGTTTTTCATTATGGGTATAGATAGGGTTTACTGTTCCCTAAGAAAATGAGTTAGAAGTTGGCGGTCTGATGAAGAAACATAATTAGAGAAAATCTGGATGTACTATACATGTGAGCCAAAAATTTTAAGTAAATCATCAAATTTGAGTTATTCAATAAGGACATTACCAGTTCGCACAGGCTCACTTTTTTTGAGATTTACCAGATAGCAACTTGATTGCCTTCTGGAGGATCTAAAAAATATTGAAAGTTCACACTTTTTCCTCATTTTTTTGGTGACCAGTAAACTACCTTTACTAAAATTTATTTTTAGGGTTGAAAGTTTTGAACACATCCCATCTGATTTTTCAAAGGGTGACGGAATTGAAGAAAAATGGCCACGAGTCGGAGGAACTTATGGAGGTGGTGGGACTCCACAAATGGGGTCTTCTACTAATTCGCATGGAGCAATTGGCGGCGTGGATGGGTACCCGAATAATCGCCAAGAAACTAAAACAGGTGCAGGTCGTCCACGTAAAAAGTTTTAAATTTATTTGATCATATTTTTATTCCTATTTTTTAAGAGTTAAGCAAGAATATCTTTTACCGCCACCACAACCGATAGCGATTTTGGACAGAACACTTCCACATGTTTTTGTCAATAGAAAAACAAATGAATTTAGTTTTAGTTGTAATATTGCTGGTTATACTCCGGAAGAGTTGCAAGTTGAACTTGTTGGTGCTGAGGTTTGAAATTTTTTATTTTAAAGGCAACTCGTCTCTAGGTTTTTAGTCCTCAAACAAGACTGCATTTTTTAGTCTGACTTTTTCTCAGTCCCAGATTGCAACTATGTATGTTTATTGATATTATGGTGTAATGCCAAAACGTTGAAATGACAAACGTCGTTTACACTTTATAGAATTTCGTAGGCTTTTGGGAGATGACATTTCATCGTTTTGGCCTTACTACTTTCAGTGAGACCCAGAGGGAGTTTATCAGTGGGTTAGCTATGTGAAGCATTTTTCCCCGTTAGGTTTTTGCATTTAGTAGGAGCGAACTTTTTGTAATTATTGCTGGCTAACTTTATTTATTTTTTAGTTAGTAATTAGCGGAGCTCATAAACAACAAACAATAAATCAATCATTTACTGCATCATTTTCACGACGTATATTACTTCCAGAGGGAGTTCATAAAGAAACAATTCAATGTAGTGTTGATGATAAAGGTTTATTAAATGTTATTGGGCAATTAATGCATGTTGGGAAACCAAAAACAATTCAACAAGAATTACAACAACAAATGCAACGACAGCAGATACAAGAACAACAACAATTACAAGAGCAGCAGCATTTACACGAAGAACAACAGTTAGAACAGCAACAACAGCCTTCTGCATCGTCTGCTGTGACTGGTGAAATTGATGTTGTTTGATGGATTTTTTGAAAGTTTTTTTTAATTTTGATAAGGATGAGAAGGAAGTGAAGACTAAAAATTTAATATTTTATTATTTTGAGCAAGAGTTTTGGTTGTATTCTGATTCTGAAAAATTTTTAAAATTTTTCTGATTTTTTTTATTTAAGTATATAAAAAGCTTTTTTTTGATTTGGCCTTAAAAATATCCCTTTTTTTAGTTTTCCGAAAACGGTATGAGGCTGTAATACCGAACGCCTATACAAATACCAAATCCTCCAAAAAATACGAAAAATACAAAAATGTGGATTGTTAACCACCTTCAACGTAATTTGAACACTCAAACGTTAATATATTTTATATACTTAAATATTTATTTTTTTCCTTCCTTCAAGTTATTCACACTTTTGACGTTTCAATACTTTTTTTTAAAGTTTTTACTATTTTTAAAAAATAAACTTTGTAAAATTATTTTGATGATTTTGTCATTGTTTTTTTTGTTTTGTTTTTGTCAATTAATTACTTTTTTTAAATTTTTTTTTAAATTTTTTTCCACTTATTTTCAGTATTTTTTTTTTACAAAAACACTTCATCAATCATTTCTTCAATTTCCTGCTTACTCAAATGACAGACAATTCTGAAGTCAAAAGTGAGAAAATGGTTCAGGTTTTTCTTTCTTTTCTCAAAAAATTAATTTTTTAAATTCTTAAGCCTGAGTACGTGATTGTTGCAAAAAGCCTGGATGAGGAGGCTGAAAGAATTGAATTACCTGCGGATCAGGATGGATCTTTGGGAATCCAAACGCTTGCTGGTGCTTTCCCTGGAGCACATGGATTGAAGTATAAGAACCCTGCAACTGGGGCTTTTCGGGCGCTTTTGTAGGAAATTTTTTGATTTTTATGTACGCATTTTTTTAATTTTTAAGGATTGATCCAGCTGGAACGAAATTCTTTCCACCAGCAGATGGATGGGAAAATAAAGGTTTTGTTTTGTATTTAATTTTCATTAATTTCCTTTAATTTTAGTGTTTATTGTCATATGTAAACAGCAAGATCCAGCACCAGAAAAAGTTCAGCCCAAGAAAGGTTACTTTTTAAAGTTTTTTTTGTGTGTTTCTGATTAATTGGGAGAATATTTGAGAAACAATTTTTTAATATCCAGCCTTGCATTTGTTTCCTATAATTCCCAAGAACTTCCTGTAAATGCGAGTTAGTTATGTTTAGGAGTTGTAAAAGATTTTTATTAATCTTTCAAAATTTTTCTATTTCCATTTGATTTTGGTATTTTTTATTTTAACTTTTGTGTCAATTAAAGACCAAATTAGAGAGTGTCGTACGTGATTAATCTTTTCGTTTTGGTCAGTGTCTGCGACATGACCTGAATGGTAATGATTTTGACTAACATTTCCCAAGAATGTATTCCTTGTCCTGTTTTTTGTTAAAATTTGTTATAGGTGATCAAAACGCAAAGCGTCGAAAATTAATGGTTGAAAGTGATGATGGTGATTCTCATGATAGTGATAGTGATCGTCCACCTGGTGAAAAATTGCGTAATAAAAGTAGTGGAGGAGGTGGTGAAACAGTTAAGCGTCAAATTGGTGTTTCTAAACAAAAACGAATGATGGGAAGTGTTGATAATGGTAGTGGTAGTGCAAATAGTGGTGGAGGATTAATAAATAAATATGATAATTATCCTGTTGAATATGTTGATGAAATGTGTGAAGAAGAACAAAATGTATTAAATTTTCCTAATAGAATGGTTGATTTACTTGTTCTTGGACTTCCGTTTGAATTGACTGATGAAGAATTAAAAAAACATTTTGAAACTTTTGGAAAAGTTGTTCATTGTGAGGTCTGGATTTTTAAAGTATTTTTTTTTTGCTTTTTTCTGTTTGTTTAAGTTTTTTTTGCTTTAAGCTTTAAATAAATGAGAAGTAAAAATTTTTTCTTTTCAAGGTAAAAATACAAAAAGGGTCAAACACGAATCGTGGTTTTGGTTTTGTTCAGATGAATGATTTGGAATCTCAACGAAAGGTTTTACAACAAAAGACACATTATATTGGTGGGCGTGCTTGTCAAGTCAAAGTTCCATTTACTAAAGTATATTAAAATTTATATTTCTTTTTTGGTTGGTTAGGGGTGTGATAGGATTTTGTATGTGTCGATGAGACGCGGAATGGAAATTCCAGATTTTAATTTATACTCAAAAGGTCCTGGTTAGGTTGGGACTAGTTCATCTAAATGAACTTGGCTGGCTCCTTATAGGAACGGGGACTCGGTAATTATGTGTTAGAACGGGGACTCCGCACAGATTAATGACGTTTGCAAGTGGACGTGTTGCCAGATTAAAAAAATTTTTTTAAAACATATTTAAGAATGCCCTATCTTCAATAGTATTCGTTGGACGAATTAAAGAAGGAACTACAACAATGGATTTACGTGAATTTTTTGCTGAAGAGGCACGAAAAATTGAACCAGATTCAACTATAACAGATGTTTATATTCCTCGTCCATTTCGTTCTTTTGCTTTTGTCAGTTTTTCATCACCAATTGTGGCAAAAGAATTGATAAAGTTGGTTTAAGGTGTTTTTAAATAGGATGGTCATCGGCCCTCGAAAGAGAACTATTTCGGCGATGTCGGGGATCTAGGTATGGAGACCTAAAAATAATTGTTGAACGTCGACGGCAAATTGGAGGTTTTAACTTTAAAAAAAAATTTATTTTTAAGGGTTGGCCAATTTACTATGGGCGAAAATCAAATTTATGTTTCGTCTGCTCATAGTACACGGCCACCAAACGCTTCCCAACAACAACAAATTGTTGACAATTCTTTGTCAAGTTATCAACATCCTTTTAAACCAAATGCACAGGTTTATTTTTTCTCTCAATTTCTTTAAAAAATTTTTTCTTTAGAATTTTTTCACTGATTGGTATGGTTCACATGCTGGAGCACATGGAGGAGATTTAACAGGAACTTCTTCTTTAGCAGGTCAAGTTGTTTCATCAACAACTTTACCACTTTATCCAAGCCATCCTTCAATGTTTACACAAGCATATCAACAACAACCTGTTTTTATTGGAGGTCAAAATGCTCCTCCACATTCTCATCCTCCACCTGGTGTTGCTCCAGGAAATCAAATGTTAAATCAATTGGAGACTTTAAATTTGAATAATATGGGAATTGGACATGAAGTTGTAAATGCTATAAAGGCTATATTTTCGGTTTGTTTTTTTTGTTGAATTTTTCTTTATTTTTTGGTGGTTAGGGATGGGCCCAGTAGCAGGGTTTAATTGAGGCTGATTTCAAATTGTCAGGCCCGGTATTCCCCAAGAAACCCCGAAAAACCGGATTCCATCAAAATATCCGGTTTCCAAGCTACCGGAAATTTCATGCCCAACTCGGTGGTCTATGTTTAAATTTTTTCATTCAGGTAGCTCAACAACAAAATTCACCAGTTTCTCAACATTCTCAATATGCTGGTCATCAACAACATAAATTAGCTGGTTCAATTTCACCACCACCAGTAAACCCAATTCAATCAAATAGTAGTGGACGTTATATTCCTCCGCGTGAACGTCCAACTCGAAGAGGAAATGAAAATAATGGTAGCGTTGGAAGTGGTGGTGGTGGAGGTGGGAGTATTGGAAGTGGTGGTGGTGGTAGTGGATGGCGATGAGATTGATGAATTTTTTTGGTGTTTGAAAAATTCTGTGGAATTTTTTGGTTATTGTTTTTGTGGTGGTGTTGGTCTTTTTTGTGTTTTTTTTATTTTTTAAGGTTTTCAAAAAAAATTTTTTGAGGTTTTCTGGTTTCTGTTGGGTGTGGGATTAAGACATTTTTTTCTAAATTAAATTTTCGCTCCTTCCTTTTCAAAATATTGTAAGCTAGCTATTTAATTTCTAAGGCTATGCGGAAGGGATGGGACCTCTTCCGTCTTTTTTAACCTTCGGCTTTCGTTTTCTGTTTTTTTTTATTTTCTTCCAGCTTACGATTTTTAAAATCCGGCTGTGTCAATCTTTGTTGTGTAAAAGGCGGCGTGGTGTGGCTTGGGGATCTTTAAGAGTGTCCAGTCAACTGAAAATGAGCTAAAGAAATAATAGCTAGCTAGGTTCAGTTTTTCTGTATTGTTCCTTGTCTATTTTCCTTAGGACTAGATGTTTTATTTAAAAATATATTAATATTTTTTCTAAAAAATGTTTTTTTCTTGCTTTTTATTAAAAACTTGGAAAAAAATTTTTATTTTTTGATAGATAGCGTTTCTAACGCTTTATTTATTTTGAAAATGTTTTTTAATAAAAAATTTTTTTTATTATTTAGATTAGGTACTTAATTATGTGCAAGAATAATGGATAGAATATATACTTCTACTACTAATTTTTAAAGAATCTCAATTAAAATAAAAAATTATTTTTAAATGATGTTGTCTTCTTTTGGTTTTAATCAACCATTTTTCTTAACTTTGATCATGTTTGTTTTTTTTAATTTATTTTTGGCTTTGGGGTTAAATTAAGGATTCTAATGATGGGGGTGATTTTTTATCTGGTGGTTGGTCGATTGACTTGGGTTGGTGGGGGCTTGGTGCCATGGGAAACGTAGTCAGAAATCTTTTCGTGAGGGATGGTGGGTCTACAAAATCTGAAAAGTGTCCTGGTCTAGAGGGTTAGTATCGGGAAAAATATCAAGCCCAGGGACGTAATTAGGAAAATTTTGAAGAGGGGAAGTGGATTTTCTGCAAAGCCCAAAAAGTGTTTTGGTCTGATTATGAGTGTTCGATTACTACCTGTTTCCTATAGACACTTTCCTACTTCCTAAAAAAATTTGAAAACTTCAAAAAAAAATTTTTTCAGTATATTTCTTGTACTTCTACTTACACTATTTCTAGTCAGTTATGATAAAATGGAGGATGAAGATTATTGTGAAGATGATTTGGTAGAATATCCACAAACTGTTTTGTATAATAATAGGGCAGGAAAAAGGCGTGTAAGTTTTTTTTAATTTTAGTCTAATTGTCTCTCAAATGATTTTTCTAAAAAATGATCTCACATTTTTTAATTAAAAAAATTTATTAAGGGCAATAAAATTTAGAAATATAAGACTATTTTAGAACCTTATAGTTAATCTACTAATCAAAGAGTCATTTCTTGAAAATATTTAATTTTGATCAACAAAAAAATTTTTTCCAAAAGAAAATATTTACCAAAAAATATCTAATAAAAACTTCCGATTCTAACAAAAAAATTTTTCAAGAAACATTTTTTTCCCTTTTCGCTTTTTGTTTTCCTTCTCCAATTTTTGGATGAACTATTTTTCCTTTAGCCAAACGGATTTCATTCTTTGAAAAAAGATTTTTGAAAAATTTTTATGAAAAAATTACAAACCTGAACTTCTCTCCAAACAACATGTTCATCAAAATAAACACCATGTAATTTAAGCATTTTTGTTAAATAATGAAACATTGGCAAATTTGGATAATATTCTGGGCTATAAACTTCTTGTTGCTCCTGAATCAAAAAAGAATTTTTTAAACTTTCTTGTGTAAAGATTTAACAGAAATGGACTTTAGGAAAAATAAGTATGGACTAATTTTTGAATCCATACTGACCTGACAATTGTATACGTCCAAGAAAACACAGGCCAAAGAAAACCCTAGGGAGCTAAAAATGCTTGTGTCTCTAGGTATAGGAAGGACTAGAAAATACATTAGCCTGGACGCAACCCGAACCCTTGCAGTGTGACTTAAAAAGTGGGCTTGTGCATTAATTAAGAATTTACTGACGACAGAAGCCTGAGTCTGTAGTCTAACAAAATCCTAGGCAGTGGAAAATCAGGGAAGCTAAAAAGTGCGCAAGGTGGTGGGTATAGGAAGATATTAGAGCCGTTGATCCGTATACGGAGCTCAATTTCTATCCGTACCTCTGAAGGAAACAGAACCTTGTCTTTAAAAAGTTTAAAAAGAAAAAATATACCCATGGTTCATTTTTCATAATTTCATTGGCAACTCGAATTGATTTTATGTCAGTTGGACGTGTAACCTTAAAAATAAATTAATTTAAAAACAAAATTTTAAAAATTAAAAAAAACCTCTCCAAAAATTTTATTTGAAAGTCTTTGCATTCTTTTCCCATATTTTGAATCAACATCCAAAATTCTTGAAGGTTTTGGTATTACCATTGTATCATAACTTTTAAAGCTTTTGTAAACAGATTTACGAATATGAACAGATAAGGGTCTTGACATTTTTTTGAGTGCTTAAAAAAAGATTTTTATTAAAGGTACAATTTTAGTTTTTTGGGGATCAACTTTGGGATCTAAAATGCAGAAATAGCTTATAAAATCGAGAGGGAAAGCCTAACGACAAAGAAAAGGCGAGATAGTGCGATAAAAGTGTTAGAGAAGCAAAGAATTTTTTTTACCTTTTTGACATTTCAAATTGGTAAAATTCCAATACCTCAAACATGTTTGGTCAAAGTTTAACTTTTATCCGCTTTTCTTTCCTTTTTAAGTTAGTCGGCAATAATTTTTTTAATTCCTTGTTAGATTTTAATATTTTTCGATCAAAAAGATATTCCAATGGCATCAAATTTTACACGAAAATTACTCAACTTCTATACCAAAATTACCCCTACTCGTGTGGAAACGTGTGCTAATTTGGTCTGCAGCTCTATTTATGGTGATGCTGTTCAAACTGCAATTTTGTCTGGCGATAAATTGAAAAGTGTTAAGGTATTGTTCTTTTTGTTTTTTATCACTCAAATTCTAATTTTGTTTTTTTCTATTTTAGGAGGAAGAGTCAATTAAAAAGCTTGAACGTCTTTCGTCACTAAAAATGACTTCAAAAGATGTTAAAAATTTGGAAGAGGATATTTTATTTTCTCAAAGGATTTTGGACGTTAACACTGAAGTAAAGTTTTCCTCCGTATAAAAAAATTTCTTCATCTTTTTTAGAATGTGGAGCCATTATATAATATCGTAGAAGATCATATTACGTGCCCTTTGCGTGATGATATTGTTTGTGAAAACGAATCGAGGGAAAAGGTTTTTTTCGTTTCTTTAATTTTTCGATTTTTTTAAAGGTTTTGATGAATACCAAGAATGTTTATGAAGGATTTTTTACTGCTCCAAGTGTTGGTATTGTTACAAAAAAGGAAAAGAATGTTGTAGAAATGTGAAGAAATCAATGTTTTTTTTGTTCTTTTTAAATTTATTTTTGGTGTAAAAAATATTTTTAGCTAGTTTCTTGTAATCATGTTGAAATTCATTTCTCATACCTATTTTTTTATTTTTGAATTTTTTTCATTTTATGATTAACAGAAGAGAATGTCTTCGAATCTTGAAAATCCACATGCAACGACAATATATTATTTAAATCGACCGCAAAGAATTATTCAACCAGAGAAACAAAATAATAATGTTTTTATTGTGCATCAACAACAACCGCAACAGCCACCGCAACAACAAAATGTACAACAGCAAAATCTTCATTTTAATCAAAATCTTCCACCATTTTCAAGTGCTTCAATGCCTTCAACAACAACAATTATAAGAAGTAGTCGATCATCTACACAATCTCCGCAAATTGTTTCTTCTTCAGCTTCACGTTCTTCAGCATCCCCAGCATTAATGTCTTCGTCAGTTGATGCAATTACTGCACCTACAGAACAGGTTTTTTTGGAAACTTTTTTTTGATTAAATTGGAATTTTAGTACATTATGAAATGTGCACACTTTTTTAAATCGTTGTTAAAAATGCGACCACATCAATCATTTAATTTGTTGGACATGAAAAATTTGCTTCGGGTAATATTTTGTTAGAAAATTTTCTGGGACTATTTCGTGGGATATTTTATGCGTGCAACCGGACGCCCTAGGATTTTTTATTGCTCTGGGACGTCCGTCAGTTAGAATGGCCTAAATACATGATTTAAACGAAATCGCTGTTCGTAGCCTTTTGGGCTAGTCTTTTAGGTTAGTCAGTCTTCGCATTTTACTTAAATGACAACAATAACATAATAAAATTTATTGTTTAACAGGATGTACTTCTTGGAGAGCAATCACCAGAAGAATTTACAGTTAAATTGAGGGAAGTAACAAAATCTCAAGATAAAGGAAATTTGCTTCCATTTCTTCGACGCTCACTTCCATCACTTCGACGTTCTATACAAAATGGACAACATTTAGATTTGAGACAAGCACTCGATATTGATGAATCTTGTTCTAGTAGCACACCGGTTTTTTAATAAATTTTTTTAAATTGGAAAAAAAATTTTTTTGAAGCAATTACCTCAACAATCTGATGAATTTACTTCTTTTTCTTCTCAACAACAATCTCAAAATAATCAACAAAATTTTCAAATTTATGGGAAATGTCCAAAAACAGAAAATTATTCTCCAGCAAATTTGGCACCAACAACAGCTCATTCAATGCCAAAAAGTGTAGAAAACATTCAACAAAATTCTTTAGATAATTACAAATTTGTTCGATCAAATGAAATGAAATATGAGGTTTTTTAAATTTATCATTTGAATTAGGTTTCGATCCAGGAGGCACTGGTATTTTGATAAAATACGGTTTTCAGCCCGGAAACCCCGGTCCATGTAGATTTGAACAAAAAAATCCTTGTGGGCCCGGCGGTCTGGAAATGTTGTACTTTGACTTAAAATCCAATTTTTAAAGGTTTCAACATTTAAAAAGGAAGAATCAAATACAATAGCTGAAAAAGGAAATGTTGGAATGGATCCTTCCGCTTCTTCACTATTTGATGATAATGCTGATAATTTAAATGTATGTCATGATTGAAAATTTTTTTATAAAAAATTTTTTCACAGAATTTACCCAAAATGCTCTTGAACCCACAAGCTTTGGCTGATAGAATTTTGTTGCGTATGCCAGATGCTGAAGGTGTTGATGGTGAAGTGCTTTCAGTTATTTCAAATGTTTGAAAAAAAAAATTTTATAAAATTTTTAATTTTTTTCTTTCAAGGCAGCAGAAGCTCGTCTTTGTACAATTCTTGCTCATTTATCTACTTTAGCTGAACATCGATTGGAACCTTTACGTGCTAATCCTCTTTATACTTCAATTGATGAACCTAGAAAACAAATCCGTTTTATGGAAGATATTGGTCCGAAATGAATATTTTTTGGTTAAAAATTGAAATTTTCTTTAGATAAACGTGCTCATAATCATAGACAAACAGCAGAAAAGGAAGCTCTTTTAAAAATTACTAAAAGTAAAGGAAAAGATAAGGATGCATTAGAAAAGGCAAAACAGGTTTTTTTTAGTTTAATTTGATTGAATTTATCTTGAAAATTTTTTAAAGATTCAAAAAGCTGATAGAGAAGCAATGGTTAATCGTGAGGCTAATGCTGCAGCTTTTGCAGCACTTGGTGGAAGTCGAATTGGAGCAAAAAGGCCTTTTGCTGCTCCAGCTTTAGGTGGAACTGTTGATTGGAAAAGTGGAATGCAAAATCAAGGATTAACTAGTGGATTGACGGGAGCTGCGGTTTGACTTTTTTTATTCTTTTTTGCCTGCCGGTTGGTGTATCTAACTGCAAGGACCATGTCATGAGTTATTCTAAACCTTGACTTTTTTACAACCCAAAGTCCGATGGAGTAGATCTTGGAAAGCCTTACCCCGAGACCCAATCATGATGAGGTATTTTAAAGCAGGGCTCTCATTCGTGCTTTATTTGAAAGTATTATACTTTGAAACCGACCTCCATACTTAAGAAATTGAATTTATACTTTATTGAAAGTATATACTTTAAAATCAACATTTTGGATTGAAAATGAAATTGGGGAAGGGATTGGGCAAAAAAGTGAATTTTTTTAGCCTTGGGCCTTCGAAATTATCAAAATTTTCGCCTGCGGCGCTGAAAAAGAAAGAAATCTGGCTTCTTGGGCTCCAAATTTCAAAAAATTTTCGCCTGCGGCGCTGAAAATGGGAGAAATCTGACTACTTGGGCTCCAAATTTCAAAAAATTTTCGCCTGCGGCGCTGAAAATGGACGAAAGCTTGAGGTTAAGACTGTCAGGGCTTTATTTCTTGTATCAGCGAATTTTGACATGTCATGCGTTGAAATGCACAAAATGCCCAATGGAAGCAAGAAATTATTAGAAAAGATTCATTTAAGAGAGAAATATAAAAGATTTGAGCACGAACAAATATTTTCCAATTTAATTTTGAGTATACTTTAAATTTGGAAATTTTCTCCCTATATACTTTTTTATCAAGATTTTGATACTTTTGAGTGGCATTTTGTCGATGAGAGCCCTGTTTTAAAGCAAAATATTTTTAAGAAAATTGCTCGCCTTAAACGTGTTACAATGCGTGATTTACAATTTTTTCTTGGTATTGATCCATCAATTCCAAGTAATTCAAGACTTCGTCATCGTATTGCTTTATATTCACTCTGTGCTGATGAAAATACTTTAATTTAATTATTTTTAGGATGTGTCTTTTAGGGTGTTTAACTAGTAAAAGGTTTATTTATTTATTTATTTATGAGCAACCACACGGTATAAAAATACACTAATAGTGGTGAAATTTAAAAGACAAATATATGTAAAAAGGACAAATATATGTAAAAAAAAGACAAATATATGTAAAAAATTAATTTAATGAGAATTATGTATTTGGTGTGTTTGGTGAAATAATTGTTTTGGTATACATTTTGTTAAAAAAAAATTTGTTTTACCTCACCAAACATTTAATAAATAGATTAAAACTTAAGGAAAAATGTTTCCGTTATCTGATATCCATTTTCTAATATATTTCCTGAATGGCTTTTTATGCATTATACCCATAATTTCATTAGGTAGTTTATTCCAGTTTGTTATATTTCTTATAAAAAAGTTATTTCTGGATTTCGAATTGTATCTTTGGTTTTGAAGGAGAAGGGGTTTTCTCTTTGCTTTTTTTGCAAATGCGAAGAAGTTTTCAGGTTTTAAGTGTGTATTCTGATACAGGATTTTTTGAGTCATACAAAGATCATTAATTTGTCTTCGTATGTCTAATTTCTCTAAGTTACATATTTTTAATCTTTCTTCATATTTTATTTTAATAAATCCAGATTTTTTAAATGCAATTCTTGTAAAGTATTTTTGAATTTTTTCAATCCTTTCGCAATTATCTTTTTTCATAGGATTCCATACTTCACTTGCATATTCTAGTTGGGGTCGAATATATGTTTTGTAGATATTAATGTATTGTTCTAGTTTTCTAGTTCTTATAACTTTAAAAAGCCTATATATACTAAAGTAAGCTCTTTTGATAATTACATTAATATGATCGGAAAATGAAAGTTTGGAATCTATTAGGATACCCAAATCTCTAACTGTTTGTAGTTTAGGAATTAGGTTGCCAGATATATGGTATTTTTCTTGTGTGTTATTTTTTCCAATGTAGAGTACAGAGCATTTATTTTCTGCGATTTCTAAACCGTTAATTTTAGCCCACTTATTAAGTAATATTAGTGATTCTTTTAGTATTTCCCGTCTATTGTCATTTTGATGATATGTATATAATTTTACATCATCTGCATATATTTTAATTTTTAAATCATGAGGAAGATAGTTTGGAAGGTCATTTATGAAGATAAGAAATAATAAAGGACCTAATACACTTCCTTGTGGTACGCCTGATTTTGTTTGTACGCTTTCAGAGAATTCTTTTTCTATTTTAACTTTAAAACTTCTTTTTGTTAGAAAGTTTTCTATGAAATCATATAATTTTCCATTAATTCCACAAGCTTTTATTTTGAGGCATAAGAGCTCAATAGGAACAGAGTCAAATGCTTTAGCAAAATCAATGTAAATAATATCGATATTTTCTCTTTTTTCCAATGACTTATAAAAATCATTTAACATTGATAAAAGATTTGTTGTAGTTGATCTATATTGTAAGAACCCAAATTGTTCATCAGAGAAGAATTTAGTTTTATTTAGAAAATTTATGATTTGTGTTGAGATAATTCTTTCGAATACGCGGCAAAGTGTGCATGTAACAGAAATAGGTCTATAATTAGCAGGGTCATTTATTTCACCCTTTTTAAATATAGGAATGATGTAGGATTGTCTCCAGATTTCTGGGATTGTCCTATTATCTAATATGATTCTGAATATTTCTGTTATGGTCGGAGAAAGTATTTTCGAACATGATTTCAATAATATATAAGGAATATCATCAGGTGAATTAGAGATTTTATTTGGAAGATTTTCTAGGATATTTTCAACTGTGAGAATATCGAATTCAATATCTTCTAGACGTTCTCTTGTAGTTTGTCTAGGTGTAAAGTTTTTGTCAAATTCTTTGAGTTGGAAATACTTACTAAATGTGTTAGCAAGTAATTTACATTTATCTTTTATATTTATATGTAATTTGTTATCTTCACTTATTAAATTTGGTATTTTGTCATTTGGATTGAATTTTTGCCGAATAAATTTATGAATGGCATTACCTCCTTTATTTATCGTTTTACTTATCTTTTCTTCGTTATATGATTCTATATTCTTTTTGAGTTCTTTAGAGATAAATCGATATTGAAGTTTTAAATTATGGTTGTCTCATCCCTTTGACTGATGTGTGAATCATTTATAATAATATGAATGTATATTTATTTTTTCCTTCCAATTTTATTTTTTATATATTTTTCTTCTCTCTCCTTCCCCTTCTCCACTGTAAATTTATTATTTTTTACATAAAACTTTTGAATAAAGTTTTTTTTAAATTTACATAACGGAATTTTTTCCTATTTTTTAAAAGGGTGTTTAAAACCCTTTTTAATACTTTTTGAATTTGATCTAATCAGTAGAGGGTAGATTTTTATTGAAATAAAAATCACTGAAGCGCCCGGGAACTGACCGTTGTGTGTCTTTTTTGACACTTTTAATTTTTTCCTATTTCAGAGAGCTGTTCAGTCAGCAAAGCTGTTTTTAATGGCTAGGGTTACTTCAGTAATTTATTTCATTAAAAATCTGTTTTCTACTTATCACTAATTTTTTTCTAATTATTTTTTAGCTTATTTACAATTAGAATAGTATTTATCTCTTCAAAAATGTCAAGTGGATTTATTCTTGCAGCAATGGGTTTAGCAGCAGCTGGTTATGGTGGACGTTATCTTTTAAGAAATAAACAAAATTTAACAAAAATTTATGGAATTTTACCAAAAACATCAATGGAAGATTTATTCTTTTCAAAATATGAAAAAGGAGGTTTTGAACAAAAAATGTCGAGAACTGAAGCAGCAAAAATTCTTGGTGTTAGGCCTTCTGCAAAAATTGATAAAGTTAAATTGGCTTACAAAAAAGTTATGATTGCTAATCATCCTGGTTTGAAATTTTAATTATAAAAATTTTTGGAAATTTTGGAAAAATTCCTGGAAAATTAAACAAAAGATTTTCGGAAAATTTTTTTTTGGTAAAATTAATCAAAATAATTTTTTAAATTGAGAAGTGGATTTTGAAAATAATTTATTTTTTTATAGATAGAGGTGGCTCCCCTTATATCGCTTCAAAAATAAATGAAGCAAAAGATTTGTTAGAAGAACAACGACATTAAAAAAGAATTGAATTATTTTTCTGTTTATTTTTAAATTTTAAATAAATTTTTAAATTTAAAATTTAATTTATTAGAATACATTTTTCAAAAAATGTTTGAATATTTAATTAATTTTTCAAATTTTTTTTACAGGAATTATTTTAGAAAGATTTTAGAAAAGTATTTTTTGTGTGCCTTTTTCCAAATAAATGAATTTACAACAATTAGTTATTTTACTTGTTTTGTGTTTTTCAATAAAATTTTGTTGGTGCTTTGAAGATGATAATAATAATGATGAGCAACTTGGAGATTTTGAAATTGGAGAAGCGTTTGATGAAGATATTGAAACATTTGATAATTTACATGATGTGAAGGTTTTTTTAAAATTCTATTTTGTTTTTAAGCATTTATTGAAATAGGGCGAAGATACTCTCAAAGATGATATTTTACAAGATTATCAAAATTTGGATGTTGGAAAACGAAATTTTAATTCTGATGTTACTCTTGGCTATGTGACTCCGGTTTGTTAAAATTTTTTAAGATTAAAGAGGATAAATGTGATCGAGTATCCTTCCCCCACTAGACATCCAAATTTTACATTTTTTCCCATTCTGTGGACATCATCCACCCAATTGTCAGTTTAAATTTTGTGAAATTTTATCGAAGTCGACAGTGTTTATCACTTTACAACAAGATGGATGAGAACCACTATTTACTAATGGGTGAAGGCCTAACATTTTTTATATTCTTTCTATCGTCTTGCCAACCTATACCTAAAAGTCAACCAGAATTTAAAAAATGTATCTGAGGTGCGATGAGTTCCTCTTTATTTTCTATTCATTTTAACAAATTTTTAAAAATAAAAAAAAATTTTTAAAGTGGAATAATCATGGTTATGATGTTGCAAAATGGGCAGCGCAAAAATTTACACATATTTCACCTGTTTGGTTTCAATTAAAAAGTGCTGGAAGTCCTATAGAAGATGCTCCTTTATTTTGTCAAATAACTGGGACACATGATATTGATTCAGGTTTTTCTTTAAATTTTTGGAAAAAATTTAATTCTTTATTAAAGGTTGGATGGATGACATTCGCAAAAATAATTCAAAAGTAAAAATTGTTCCCCGTTTTTTATTTGAAGCTTGGCCTGTAGAAGATTTGAAAAAATTTCTTTATAGTGAAGAAGTACAAAGAAGATGTGTTAAAGATATTATTAGATTACTTCAGGTTATTTTATTGATTTTCTAGTTTCGGTGGTAGATTAGTTAGGAGTTTTCGGGGTTGCCTGGTTCGATGCCTGTTACTTGAGAAATAGTATAATTAGTAGGTTTGTGCTTATTTAGTGATTGTTGTGATGGTTGAGTGGTAGTGTGTTTTTTTGGGTTATCAATTTTCGTGGAAGGTTTGTTAGGTTCGATGCCTTAGGTTTGACGCCCTTCAGGTTTTTAGAATCAATTTAAGTTCTGATTTAATTTTTGAATTTTTTTACCATAAAAATATTTTTTTTGATTTTAGAAAAATCAAATGGATGGTGCAGTAATTGAAATTTGGGTTCAAATAATGTCAATGACAAGAGGTTCTGCTGTTGAGTGGGTAAATTTAATTTCTAATTTTTTAAAAATATTTTATAATTATTTAAAAAATTATATTTTTTTAGATATTTATTGGAAATTATTGAATCTTGGTCAAAAGAATTTCATAAATATGGGCTTGAATTTATTCTTCCAATGATGCCTGCATTGGATGCAAAGTAAGGAAAATGATCTTTTTGTAAGTTAAAAAAATAATTTTTCAAGTTATGAAGAAACAGGAATTGTTAACAGAGAAGTTATGAGACGGTTAATGTCAAGTGTTGATTATTTAAATGTTATGACTTATGATTACAATAGTCCTCAGTTTGTTTTTTTTTTTTAAGTAGAAATTTTTTCTGGATTTTTTTCCTGGAATTTCAAACAATTTTTTTCGAAATTTTGAAAAAAAATTTCTTGAAAAAAATTTTTTTTTATTTTTTCAGAATTTCTGGTGTTGCACCATATGACTGGGTCAAAGCAAATCTTCAATATTTTATTGATTCTTCAGAAGATTATTTTGAAAGTTCAACAAAAATATTAATGGGTTTAAATTTTTATGGTTATGATAGATCTGGTAGTTCAAGTGAAGCTGTGCTTTCTAAAAAGTTTATTTTTTTAATTTTAAAATAATTTTGAATATAAGCCGGGACAGGGCGGGCGCATTGAATTATGCGTTTTTGGAGATTGTCTCTTGCGCCCGCCCCTGGCCGGTATTGGGATTTTTGGTGCTGGTAATTCGAACCGGGTATTTTGATAAAATCATGGGTTTTCAGGGGTTTAATCCGGAAAATCCGTCCCGGGTCAGTTTTAAAGAGGTCCGACAAATTTGAAAATGCCCAACTCTATTTTTTGTACTTTTTAAAGGTTTATTGAAATACTTTCTGATGGAGATTCTGTTCTTTCTTTTGATGAAAATGATGGTGAACATAAACTTATTTTTGGGTATTTTTTGAATTTTTTTATTAAAAATTTTTTCTTTAAAAAAGAAAATATGGCATTATTTATTATCCAACAAAACAGTCAATTAAATTACGTTTAAATTTGGCAATAGAATTGGGAATTGGTGGTGTTGCAATATGGGATTTGGGACAGGTGGGGAAATTTAATTTTTTTTCAATTTTAAAAATTTTTTTAAAAATTAAATAATAATTCCTCTGTCAATTTTTACAGGGACTTAATCATTTTACTTCTGTGCTTTAAAAAAAGAGAAATTTTTGGATTTAAAATTTTTTCTGTGATTTTTGATTTTATTGAATTTTTGGACTTAAAAAATTATTGCTTAAAAATTGTTTTTTTTCGGAATTGTAAAATTATTTAATTTTTAAAAAATCTTTTTAAAATTATTTTTTTTATTTAAATATTTAAAAAAAGCATTTCTTCTTATTTTTATCCTAGGACTAATTCTTTTTTATTAAAACCAGTTTATTTTTTTCTTTTTCTCTTATTTTTTTCGTGGGTTCAATTTCTTTTTTTATTTTTCCAATTTAAGATGTTTATATTTTAATTACATATCTCTTTATTTTTAACTATTTTTGTTGGATGTATAGGATATATAAGGTGAATGAATGGCCTTTTACTTTCACTTGGCTTGTGTGTTGCGCGACTTCTCTGTTTTAATTTTTTATTGCGCTAACATTGTGAATGCGCGACGCAATATATCCCTTCCCTTCGTCTTTTATTTCTTCTCGCGCTTTTCTGTGATTTTTCTATTATGTAAAGTTCTTTTTGGGAGATATTCTCATTCATTCGTGGGTGTGTTCTTCTCTAACTTTTTCTTAAATTTATTTTTTTATGTTTATCTCTTCATTGTTTTTTTCTGAAATTTTTTTTCTTTGTTTTTCTTAACCTTGGAGGATTTTTGAACGGGTTTTGACCTTGATACGCTAATTTGTTTGTTTTTTATTTGTTTTTTACAAAAAGATTAAACATTCTTTTGGATATAAATATAAAAATAAGGCAAAAAATTTGAACAATCAGAGACCTCGCATTAAGATTATTATTAAGATACACCTTCAATCTAAGATACAATTTTTTAAAGTTTGTTTGGCCATTAAGTGTGTGTGGGGGGGGGGGGGTTGGATGTGTGAGCATTACCTCCAATTTAAGATACATTTCATTATTTGATACGTTTTTGTTGAGTAATGTGTATAATTCAGCATTAGGAGATGTAAAAATTTGGCTTGCCATGAAGTGATTAAGTGAGGGAGGGAATAGATGGCCGATGCCTTTAAGAGTTATCCTCTATTGTCTCATTATCTCATACGATTTTTCAGATTTGAGAGATCATTATAATGGCATTCAAACTTAATTTTCTCCTTAAAAGATTTGTTAAACATTTACCTTTCCTTTTAAAAAATTAATAAATTCCTATTAACCCAATATAAAACTAGCTTTTCCTTTCTTTTAATATCTAATTCCTTTGCCTTATATTCCTCTTTTTTACTACATTCATATATCCCTTTTTTTATTAAAAACATTTTTCTTACAGCCTTTTAAGCCTTTTTATTTTTTATTATGCGCAAAAAATGGGATTTTGGTCATATATTAAAGCGCAGTTTTTGGATTTATATTTGTATGTATATCTCTTTATGTTGCACAAGCGGATGAATGTGAATAAAAATAGATTAATGTCCCCAACCTTTATTATATTCTGGTTAAGCTGGCTCTATTACACAATGTTAATGCACAAACATACAAGTAGAGGTGTGTGGGAGATAAAGACTTGTGCAGCAAAAAATAAAGGGATTTCATTTATACGCACTTTGTATGTCCAAGTTTTAATTTCTTCTATCTTTCCAACAAAAAATTCCTAGTTGCACATCCTTATATGTTAATTTTAACATCCCTGAACTTTGGATATATTACGTTGGATTTATTCTCCTTTTCGGTCAAGTTTTACAGTTCAATTCTAATCTCCGAAAATTTTCCCAGAAGTGAGATACCTGAATTCATGTAGATATCTGAATTCATGCAAGCAACAACCTTATTTTTGGCGCACAATCAATGTTAATTGGAGGATTTCTCCTTGAATTTAGGAAGCAAAATTTAAAAATCCGTATAGGGCTGTAATTAATCAACCTTGTTTTTTTTACTTGGCAAATAAATAAAAAAAGTTCAAATGATGTAATATGCGTGACCATTCACCTGGAATTTTTGTGAACTATTGCACCTGTTTCTCATCTATAGTAGAAGATATATCCCTTTTTATTTAAATTACTCAAATCTCTACCTATTTTCTTTTTATTTTTAAATAAAGCGCGCGCTATATTAAAGCTTTATTTTCTCCCCCTATCTACGCACGCACGCTTTTATGGGATTTATCTGCATATATTCTCTCCAAACAAAAGCTATATAGCCTTTTCAAAACTACTTTTTTTCTTCTACTATTTTTGTTGGCTTAAGAGCTTTAGCCAAAATCCTTCTTTCTGGTTATCTGAAAGCTTTTTTGGGGTGGGGAAGGAAAACTTTTGTGTTGTCTTTGGGCCTCAGATTTTTATTTATTTGAATCAGAAAAATATTCAATTTTTATTTGTTATTTTGATTAATTTTTATTTATGTTGTTGGTTGTTGATATTCTTTTTCTCTGAAAAATTACATTTTTTTTGGATTTGGGCTTGTTGGGTGATTAAACATTGTTTTTTTAATTTTTCGTATTTAAATTTTTTGACCTTATTTCGAATTTTTGAAAATTCCAAGTCCTCACTATTTTTGTCTTTGTTTTTTAATTTTCAATGATTCACTTCCAAACGCTCTACTGGATTTTCTCTCTCCTTCCATTTTTAAGGATTTTTTGCCATTACGCAAATCCCAATCCTTCCCTCCTTCTTTTAATTTTTTCCTTTTAAAACCTTTCCATCTAACAATCTTCAACAACAACTTCATCATCCCATCAAAAAAGTGAGATATCCTTTCATTATTCACTTTTTAAACATTTTCTCACATACTACTTTTCTACTATTTCACAAATGAATTCTCTAGTTGAGAGAGACTTTTAAAGGATTTGGATATTTATTTATTTAGTGGATAACTTTTAGTATGATAATATGTGTGGAGATTTGTTTAATCCTGTCTTTCTATTTTCCTATTTTTTCTATTTATCATTTAAAGGGTTTTCTCTCGTTTCTGTTCTTCATTTCGGTTCCGGATATCCGAAAATTTTCCAAAAACTTTCCAAGAATTTCCAAGACAAATTTTCTATTAAGAACCATGGGTGTTTATTTTAATGATCTATTTTTATCTACCCCTGATTATTAAACCAGAAACCTTAGAAAATTGTTTAAGACATCTAACTCTTTTTTAAAAAATTTTCAAATCATCTTATCTTTTAACAAAATCAGCATTAAGAGAGAAACGACCTTTTTAAGAGAGAGATATATATTCTCATTTTTTATCCCTTTTTTTCTCTCCCTTTAACGCTTGGTTGATGTCGCTTGGGATTAACGATGGAGGGGATTAGATATTTTGTGAAGATATAGAGGGGATTAAAGGGGAGGATATATATCTCTTTTTACTATTTAGTTGGCTTGTATATTGATTTTATATTTTTTTATATTTTAGAGGGTAGGGATTTTGGTTTTGGGGGAGAAAAAGAGATTTTAAGGAGAAATGTTGGTTGTTTGTTGGCCTTCATAGAAAGATTTTTCTTCGGAATTTTTAAAAAAATATTTCAATTAACCCTCTCTTTTTTAATTTTTTTATTTTCTAAATACAATAAATTTACTAATATCCTAATACGTACTAGGCATTTTTCCATTGATCTCATTCATGGACTTATCAATGAACGGGCAAAGTTTTTTCGATTAGATATGGACTACTGTTTTAGGATATTTTTTTAATTATTTTTTTTATTATATTTTTGAGGGGAATTTTTCATACATTTTACTAGAGGTGGGATTTTAATTTTGGGGGATTTTGGTTTTTGCTTAACTTTTTTTTTATTTTTTGAATTTTTCAAATTAAATTTTTACTTATTTATTTTCATTCAAGATTTGTTTATCTCGTATAGTTTTTTAAAATTTATTATCTCCTTTTTATCTCTCATTTATTTATATCCACACATCTCTATTTTCAATTTTTTTATTTTTCATCTCTTCAATTTTTGGCAAAAATTTATAAAATTGGATGGAGGAGGAAGGGGGCTAGCTATATAATATTTTTAAGTATAAAAAAAGGAAAAAGCCGAGGGATTAGTTTTTGGTGATATTATATAGCGAAAAATAAAAGGGGAAAAAGGAGAGAAAATCCAGAGCCAACGCGGCTTTTTACCGCGAAAGTGGCGTTTTTGAATGAATAATGTGATATGAGAAGGGGAAAAAGGGGGGATTGGGGGAAAGAGAGAAAAACCTAAAAATTGTGAATTTGAAAAAAGGGGGAGGGAGAAGAGATTGGCTTTTTGTGGGATGTAAAAGTGTAAAAAATTTAATAGTTTTTGGAAAAAAGCTTTACTAGAATATATTAAGGGTATACTTTTGTGTGTCAGATGATAAAAGTGGGAGAGAGATTAACTAAACAAAAAATTGTTGGGCAATATTTTTTTGGTTTTATATCTTTTTTTGAAAAATTTTTGTCTGGTGATTTTTAGAGTCAGAATTTTTAGAGTTAGCCAGTTTCCAGTGACTAAAAATCATTACACTATTCAATTCAAAACCCCATTAGCTCCTTTTTTGAGAGTAATATCCGACTCGACATAGGTGAGAGGGTAGACTTGAATTTAGGTTTGAATCAAAATTTCTATTTTTATTGATGACAAGTACATATCTTTTTATATAAAGTGTACTCACTCTATACTTAAATTAAAAATAACTCTAAAGCTCATCTCCTTAATTGGATATTACCTCTCTCTTGCTTTACTAAAAAAGAGAAAGCTTTCATCCTTAAAGTAAAAAGCTTCCTCTCGTTGCCGAATAGTTTTAATTTCCTTTGCAAATCTGTTTTTCTTTAATTTATACTCTTCAACCTTTTTTGTTTATAGATTAAGATAGTTTAGATTTAAGGAGACTAGCTCTAGTTGTAGTCCCTTTATGCTGAAGATTTCAAGTAAAAGCTTGGTGTAACTGGTTAACTGTTGGATGGGATAGTGCAGGGGTGCGCCGAAATAGATTTTAAAAAGCGAACGGCGAAACGCGCAACTGGCACACTACTGCTATATTGTAATCTAATTATATTAAGGCAAGGATAGAAGGCAATCAAAAAAATTTTTTAAATTTTTCTTTCATTTTTATGTACAATTTTCTCTGATAACTGTTCCAATATTTACTTTATAATTTTTAAATTCAATCTTTTTGGGGTAGATAAATAATCTTTTTCTTCGAGTAGTAGAAGGGTAGAGGGAGAGCCAAGTAATCCCGCCAGCTTTTTATTTTCTTTTACTTTTCTTTTATATTTTTTTTTCTTCATTTCCTCAAATACCACAAAAATTTTTTGATGTGTTTGCCTGTGTGTGGCGAGGCCACCAAAATAAAATTTTATTTTGCTCATCCATTTAGCTAATACTTTAGTTAAATCTTTTCTTTTTATATTTTCTTCATCCTCCCTCTCTTCTATCTACCTACAGCGTTACTTTTCTTGATGATGATTAGCTAACTAACTAGCTAACTTTCTGTTCACTTTATTGTGTTTGGTTAAAGCCGGCAGCAACTTCTTCTTTCATTCTTTCTTTCCCAATTTTCTTCAGAGCATTTAGCCAATCCCGACGTTTATTTTATTTTAGTTTTTCTTTCGGCTTATATCGTAAGCTTAGGAGATAGAGCTAGCTAAATAAAATATTTTCTCGATCACCATCAACAACAATAAATATTCACAGGGCGGGCCAATCCTCCTTCATCTTTTTTTTTACCTTTCAAATGCCTCATTGATTTCTCTCCGCCTATTTACTGATGCTTATGCGCGGATATTTAAAAAATTATATTCTTGAAAAATTTTAATTTTGTTGGGAAATTTGGTATATTTTTTGTGATCTCTTATCTATGCTTAAAGCTTTGGCCTTTATTTTGATCTAGTGTTACTTTTTCAAAAAGATGTGATTTTTCAGCATCTTATCGATCATAACTTTTTTATCAATCAGTCGAGAATTAAAATTTTTTTGAAATTTTGTAGGGTATTTAATTCTTTATCTATTGGTAACAAGATCAGTAAAAAGTATCCACCTCTTCAAAAGTTATAGTTTCCGGGATTGAACTAAACTGAGGTGTACTTGCGGTTTGCCTCGCTTTTTAAGCAGACTTTCGTGGATACTTTTTAAGCAGACTTCGCTTTTTAAGCAGACTTCGCCTCGCTTTTTAAGCAGACTTTCGTCTTTCTCTTTTTAAGATCAGTTTCGACACATCCTTGATCAATCTTATCTTTATTTTAAGAAATTATCTTTTATCTTTTAACTATTTTTCCAAGACAAATATTACATGCTTTTTATTCTTTTTGGCCACTACCCATTTTATTCATATATAATATAATCTCTTCTCATACATATAAATCGAGGCGATAAACTAATATTTATTTATTTATTTATTTGATGACGAAAAAAGTCTTTATTTCCTCCTCCAAAAAGCCTCTCTTTTTTTTTCTCATTCAAATCTATGACTAGCTTTTCTGGCCAACAGAAAATTTTGTCATCATCTCATTCATTCTTTATACAAAAATTGAGGGGAATATATAAATAATAGGCGCGATTTATAGCTTTACTACTAGAGGGGGGAGCTTTTCTTTAGTTGCTTTATGTATGTTGTGTTTGTGGACAAAAATGGATTGCTGAATCACACAAATTTTTTTTATTCAAGACTGTAAGAAAAAATAAAGGAATTGAGGGGAGGAAGGAAGGGGTAGAGGAAAGGAATAAATACATACAAGGGGATGAGTGTCGGCTTTATATATTTGTTGGCTTTTCAGAGGGGGGAAGGAGGGAAGAAATAAAGGGTGGAAAAGCTTTTCTTGCGTTTTATTGTTAGCGCTTTATTTTGGGCAAATCACCTCCTCCATTACCAACATCTTATAAATTTATTTAAAAACATTTTTCTTTCTGTTTCCTTTTCCTTATTATTTAATACAATCTCGATTTTTATCTTTATTCGGTTGGCCATTTTTTGTTAGTATTTATTTGATTTTTGTTGTTGGCCAAGAAATTGCTAAAAAAATTTCTTCAAACAGCCAACCATCTCTCTTATCTTTTTATCTATTAATAGCTGGATTTTCCGTCTTTTTTTTATCGCAAACCCTCTACTTTATACTTTTTAAGCAGGGGACTAATTTCTTCAAATAACCCCAATCATCTCTTTTTCTTATCTCTTTTTTTATCCATCAATAAAAAATTATTTTTAATATTATCTTTATTTATTGAGCTTTATTTTTATCTCAAAGAAACAGTGACAGACAATTTTTTGAGCTGGGGATTTTTTCAGTTTTTTAATGACTACATATTTAATTTTTTAATCAAAAAAATCCTCTTAAAAATGAAATTATGAACGACGAAATATTTAGAAGGAAGATGTCTTCTTTCTATAAAAAAGGATCGCTTTTTTTGGTCCAACATCGCCTAGAAGAAAATCTTTCGCGCTTATTTTTTTCTTTTTAATTTTTTTTGTTTGTTTTCTATTTCCGGTTGGATTTGTTGTTTAGATTGTTGCAATTTATACATATTCATTAAAAATAGATGTACTGCACAAACACACACCTTTTAATTGCTAATACAAAATTTTATGTTGATCAAAGAATCGTCTAATATTTGTTGCTTTCCTAGCTTCCGTTTTTTAAAACAAGGCAGGGCTTATTATATATATATATATATATTATACAGATCCAAAGCCTAATACCATCCCCGCTATATATAAATCTTTAAAAATCCTTTTTTAAAATCTTTTTTTTCTCAAATTTTCTTTATTTATACAGTAGTCGACAAAAAGATAGGGACAAACGCATGTAAAATGAAAATCACCTATTTTCTCAGCTAAAAATCGATTTCAGGAAAAATTTTTTGTTTGATTAAATACGCCATTTAATGCTCTATTTAATAAGTATAAGATCTGGCGGATTACTATTTTTTGATATACTGAAATAATTTAAATAAAAAAGTACTGCAAATTTTAGCCCGACAAAAAGATAGGGACAAGTCTTGTAACTAAGTAGTCACCCAACCAATAAATTTACAAAAATTCGTGCAAACATAATGATCGATACTAAGATAAAATAAAAAGGAACTAGGCCCGTAGATCATTTCAATGTCGAGATCTCGATACCCCAAAAATCAACGTAAAATAGGGGTAAGCAACTTCAAAAAATATTTTCGACCCCTTATGGATTTTTTAAAATTTTTATTTTGAGCCTATTCGATAGCTCTTGAAATTTGCTATAAACTAGCCAAATTTCATTTTTCAGAAAAAAATACTTCGTTAGTTGCAGAGGCGAATGTTACAAAAAGCAACAAACACCCCATAAATTCCCACAAAAATGGCGTTTTGAAGAATCGTCGTCCTTTATTTCGGGAGTGAAATTTTTTTGAAAAATGAAATTTGTCACGTTTATAGCACAATTAAAGAACTATCGAATAAGCCTAAAATGAAAATTTAAAACAATCAATAAGGGGTCCGAAAAAAATTTTGAAGTCGAAAAACCCTATTTTACGTTGATTTTTGGGGTATCTAGATCTCGACAACGATATTTTTTAAATACAGTAGTCGACAAAAAGATAGGGACAAACGCAAGCAAAATGAAAATCACCTATTTTTTTCGGTTAAAAATCGATCTTAGAAAAAATTTTTTGATTGATTAAATACTAGATTTAATGCTCTATTTAATGAGTAGAAAATTTGCCTGTTTAATTTTTTATAAAATTCAACCCTTATTGAAAAACTAAAGGTATGCTATTTTAAGCGCGACAAAAAGATAGGGACAAGTCTTGTAACTAAGTTCTCATAGAAGCGAAAAATCTACAAAATTTATTGTAAGCATATTGATCGATAATAAGAAGAAATAAAAGAGAACTGGGTCCATATCTCATTTCGTTGTCGAGATCTAGATACCCCAAAAATCAACGTAAAATAGGGTTTTTCGACTTCAAAATTTTTTTCGGACCCCTTATTGATTGTTTTAAATTTTCATTTTAGGCTTATTCGATAGTTCTTTAATTGTGCTATAAACGTGACAAATTTCATTTTTCAAAAAAATTTCACTCCCGAAATAAAGGACGACGATTCTTCAAAACGCCATTTTTGTGGGAATTTATGGGGTGTTTGTTGCTTTTTGTAACATTCGCCTCTGCAACTAACGAAGTATTTTTTTCTGAAAAATGAAATTTGGCTAGTTTATAGCAAATTTCAAGAGCTATCGAATAGGCTCAAAATAAAAATTTTAAAAAATCCATAAGGGGTCGAAAATATTTTTTGAAGTTGCTTACCCCTATTTTACGTTGATTTTTGGGGTATCGAGATCTCGACATTGAAATGATCTACGGGCCTAGTTCCTTTTTATTTTATCTTAGTATCGATCATTATGTTTGCACGAATTTTTGTAAATTTATTGGTTGGGTGACTACTTAGTTACAAGACTTGTCCCTATCTTTTTGTCGGGCTAAAATTTGCAGTACTTTTTTATTTAAATTATTTCAGTATATCAAAAAATAGTAATCCGCCAGATCTTATACTTATTAAATAGAGCATTAAATGGCGTATTTAATCAAACAAAAAATTTTTCCTGAAATCGATTTTTAGCTGAGAAAATAGGTGATTTTCATTTTACATGCGTTTGTCCCTATCTTTTTGTCGACTACTGTATATTTGCATCATCCATTCATTTTTGTGCTTTCTTAAACGTCAAAACCTTCTTAATCATAAATATTTTTATGACATATCTTTTTTAGTCTTTTTCTAGTTTATTTTTGCCGTTCCCCTGCTTTATTTAAAAATTCTTTGCCTCTTATCTGTTTTTTTGTTGTGTTGCATTTTTTCTATCCTCCAAGTAGATGTTGATGATGAACCAACATAAGACTGTACACAAAATCTTTTTGCCTTCGTAATTTTTGACGTGGGTTTTTCCTTCCCCATACTTTCATCTCTTAACTTTCATCCTCGTAACTTTTTCCTCAAAAAGGAGGATCGATCCAAGAGAGGGATGGGATTGTTGGGGGGTGAATGAGTGATTTTATATAGGGAGAGGAAGGGGAAGGATTGGTTGGTTTATGGAAGGAATGAGGGAATAAAAAGGGTATTTATTTATTAAGGCTCGGTCATAACCTTTTCTCCCCTCATTCATGTTACGTTCTCTCAAACTATTTTTTTTTCAAATATTTGTATAGTACATCCCCTTAAATCTTTTTCCTGTTCAGTCAGTTTTAAAAATTTTTTAAACTTTAAAAAATATTTTTTAAGGAAGTAAATATTTCCATTACTTATTTTTTTCTTTAAATTTTTAAACTTTTGCGTGTGTGGCAAAAAATTTAGGAGAAAATTGTTTATTTGTGTGTTGTAATAATTAGCGCATAAATATAGGGGTATCCGTAAATTAAACTGTCTTTTGAAACTCTCGCGCGATTTTTTTTCTTTGTTTTAATTTTTAATTTGTTTGTTTGTTTGCTACAACGTTTAAAAAATTCTTAAAAAAAGGAAGTAGATTGTTTAAGATTTTTTTTTGTTATTTTGTTTGTTGCGCGCAAATCCTTTAAAAATTAAAAAAAAGTGAAAAGGAATTTTTTATTGGACGGGGGTAAAGCGCACCAGACAAATTGTAGACTAGCTGTGTCTGCTTTTTCTTCAATATCTTTGGGAAAAAATTTATAGGGGAAGAGAGAAAAGCCTGTTTTTTGTTGTTGTTGCGCAACAAATTCTTTTTTTTTTTAAATTTTCACTTTCACCTAGGAACATGAAAAGGATGAGAAGTGATCTGAAGAAATTAAGGGTATATCTATAACTATGAGAACCCAAAAATTCTGGGTTTTGGATTCCGGGTAATCTGTTTCATCCCTGGTTCAAATAGATCACAACTTCATTTTTCATATAACTATTTTTCCATTTTTGGCCAATTTTTTGTGGATTTTTTTTATCTTTTTTGGGGTATCAGGCAAATTGCTTAATTCCTCTTTTTTTCTCTTAAATTAAAAACTTTCGCGCGAATATTTTTTTACATTAATATTGTTTAAACGAGTTTAATGCGCAATAATATACTCTAAAAATAAATACACAACAGAGTTCACATTCCAAAGTGCTTGAATAAAAATATATTTTATTTTGCTCGAAAAAATGCTTAATTTAATACAATATTTTGCGCATCCAACCATGCTACGTTTTTATTGTAAAAAATTTTTTTATTTTTATATTGTCTTCTTCAATTTATCTTTTTCTTTTCACTTTTAATTTTGGCCATAAAAAGCTAAAAAATTTATAAACAGACATGAAAAATTGGAATTTTTTTAGAAAAGCAGGAACAAGAAAAAAGGTTGGGAAGATGATCTGAAGGAACAAAATAAAAAAAAATAAAAAGCGCGGTAGCGAATTTGCGTGATCAGTAAGGAAAAGTGAAAGCGCAACCATCCAAACAAATAAAAAAAAATATATTAAAGGGTATAAAGAAAGTAAAAGCTGGCTGGCTTCCTTCCTTCCTCTTCACGCTTTTCTTTTTTTTTATTGTTTTGTTGTTGTGTTTTTTAGTTGCGCGAAGAAAAAAAACAAATCAAATCACGCGCGATTTCGCGGAAAACGAAAGGAAATGGAGAGGAGAGAATTGTTCCTCCTTTAACCCCTTTAGGGCCAAATACAAGAAAAAAGGATGGATGGATGATGATTAAATCGTGTGGAGGGTCTGTCTGGCCGTTCCTCTTTTTCCTGTTTTTTAATTCCACAAGAAAACAATTTCGCGCAAAAAAAATAAAAACGGTTCCAGTTCCTAAAAACTAGCCCATTAAGCATTAAATATATAGTTTTGTCTAGTTAAAGTTGTTGTTGTTGTAGCCCTCCTGAAAAAAAATTTTTTTATTGAAAAGGGGCGGGACAACCAGGCCATTGAGGAAATAAGAGAGAGAGGAGATGAGTGAAATGGGAGGCTTTGGGCGGGACAACAAGCGATTATACGAAGAACGGGGGTCGACTGGTTGGTTTTAGAAGAATGAAAGAGAGGGGAAGAGGTGAATGAAGAATAGGGGAGGGAAAAAAGGGAAAGGATGGGGCTCCTTGGGGCGAGGGCGCGATTAGGCCATCACAATCGCGCTGATGATGATGGGGGTGCTTTATTGTTTTGTTCTTCTTCTTGTTATACTTCACCTCAATCTCTTCCAATTTAGAGAGAATGAGCGTCCTTTCTTCTTGTAATCATCCTCCGGCCTTAGAAAACTTTCACTACTTTTTTTCTTGTTTTTTTTATTGTTGTTGTTGTTCCTGGTTGTCATTTATTCATTCTCCGTGATATTCCCTCACTTTTCCAATTTTTAGAAAAAAAGTTTAGATTCGTCAAGCAGTTTAGAAGAAGTTTTGTTGCTTATTGTCCTCATCCTTCCTTTTATTCATTTTTTAAAAAACTATCTTCTTCGCCTTCCCCTCTTCCATGTATAAAAATTTTATATTTTATTATATTATAGTCCAAATTTTTATTTTTTAAATATTTATTAACACAATCCTTGAGTGAAAACGAATTGTTTCGTGCTATCATCCGATTTCATTGAAAAGTCTCTTTTTCATTTTTGTCCCTTATATAAATAGATATGTACAAAAATATTTTATAAACACATTTATATTTCTTCTCAATTCACACACACAGAGCGGAATCTCGCGATTTTTAGTTTTGGGGTTTTGGTATAGTAGTGGTTGATAGTTTGCCACATCCTCCTTTTTATTTTTCCCTATCTCTTCCTTTTTAAACATATTAAAAATAACCTCCTTCCCCCTCAAAAAAATTTTTTCTTCTCATTTTCATCCTTCCCCTCCTCAAAAAAAATTTTTTTTGTTGATTATATTGCATTTTAAAGGAGAGGGGAGGGAGAGATTGACGATAAATTTTGAGAGAAAAGGTAGAGATAGATTAAATTCGAGAGCAAAAAGCAGCAACATATCATAATCATCATCAACATATCAACAAAGCGGAGTCGGTGTTAACGGCAGTTTATTTTTAAGTATAAGGAACGATTTATATATTTTATGGTGAGATGATATATTGATAAGGCGAGAATTTGGCTGAAAATTAAAAAAAGAGGGGGAGAGATTGGGGGTTTTAAAGGGGGGAAAGGTGTGGTAGTAAGTGATTGGTGGGCCGGATGGATGGGCAAAAATTTATATATTTTTTAGATAGATAGAGGAGAGAGTAAAAGGGGGGTGGGGGATGGATGTTGGATAGGAGGGGGGGGGGGGGGGGGAAGATGTTGTTTGTATTTGTGTGACGGTGATGGCCGAGAAGTTAAAGAAGAAGAACAGCACCACCACCAAAATCTCATTAACTTTTGCTCCCCCCTCCTTTTTTCTTCTAATTCCTTTTCTTTCCTTTTTTTAATCGCTTAAGATTGGATCCACCTTTTCTTCCCATTTTTCTCTTTTCTCTTTCATTTTCATTTTTTGATATAAATTTAATGCCTTGACAACAAAAAATGATGATCATCCCTTTTTTAGTCAGCCATTTTATTTTATCTATCACGGACAAGTAGAAAATCGCGTTTTTCTTTTGGTCACGCCATTATTTGATGATATAATTTGGTCAATCTTGACAATATTTATCAAATTTATTTAAGGGGATATTACATATTAGGACAAAACAATTTAGAGACGTTGAGGTGTAGTGGGATAAATGCACATTCTCTTCACCAAAGGTTGAAGGTTCGAATCGTTTCGAACGGCAAAATTTTTCACAACGTCCAGATTTTTATTTTTTTAAAATCTTCTCTTTAATCTCACTTTTAACATTACTCAACAATTTTTTTATTTTTTTTGGCCTTTTATTTTTTTGATTAAATTGTTGTAATTCTCCCTTTAAATATCGGCTATACAACTTTAAAGAAAAACGCATATTATCAAAAAAGGTTTTGATGTGTTCAAAAATTAAAAAAAAGAAAATTTTTCTTTTTCTCTTTCAAAGACTTTTTCAATCCAAATTTTTTCCCCTTTTTTTAAATGATTTCTAATCCCATTTTTTTGTCATTTTTACGTTTAAACCCCCCTTCTCTACTTACGTTTCTACCAACTACACTTATACTCTTCTATCTATCACAAAACTTATTCCCCTAATTCATTCATCTCACTCATCATATTCACTTTTTTTAAAAAAACTTGATTATACTGCTACCGAATATTCTTTATTTTGCGAATGGCAAATAATATAATGATTACGTTTGTCCCCTTAAAAAGATTTTAAAGAATTTTCATAACTTAATCCTTTTATGTATTTTCTCTCTAATTTTTAGTTCTTTAAGATGTGTATTAAACTTTGAACTCTTTATCTTTATTAAATATTTAGAAACTGTACAAATACTCCTTCACATTTTTTCTTTACTTAATTTTATCTCTCTAATTTTATCTTAAAATTGCGCAATATTTTTTTCCGGAAAGTATATTTTATTTTTATTTCTATGTATAAGTTCCGGAATATTTTTTATATTAATCTCTAGTTGTATCTCTGAATTTTGCAGTCTTTTTTCCGGAAAGTTTATATTCTGCATGTTTTTCCGGAAAGTATATTTTGTTATTTTCTTTTTTCTTTAGGTTCCTTTTTTCTTTAGGTTCTTCCAGAAGTATATTCTCTATTTATGTATATTTTTGTAGATTCCGGAATATTTCTATATTAATCTCTAATTGTATCTCAGAATTGTACAATGTTTTCCGGGAACATTATATTCCATTTATAAGCTCTGGAAAACTTTATTTCCTTTATATAAATTTGCCAAAATTAAACTTATTAAATAATTTTTTAAATTTTCTTTTTTAAGGTTCTTCATCCAAAAAAGCCTTCAAAAAATCAAAATTGTCTTTCATTGAAATATTTTTCTACTTAAAAAATATTATTTTTCTTCTTGCTTTCTACGGGCTTTAAGCCAATTTAATTTATTAAAAATATGGCGCCAGATATGTTCCCGGTGCGTGTACTTGTTGAAACTGTTCGATCACAACATTGTATTGGATGTGCTCATGATGGAAATCCTTTGGTTGACACATTTGCAGTAGTTGGTGGACAAACAATGCTTTCTCAATTAGTTGAAACGGTGCTAGCTGCTTTGGGATTACCTCAATTAATACAGGATTCGAAAGGTAAAAAAATTAAGGTTAAAAATTTTTGGGGACAATTCTTTATATATTTTTTGATTAATTTTATTCTTTTTGGGGTGTATCTCCTTAAAAATTAGTGTTTTTCCACTATCCATCTTTTTTAGCCTTCATTTAGGTTCCAGTCATTGAATTAATTTTCATTTTCTCCTTTTGAAAAAATTTTTTTGGTTTTGGCCTTCTCTTTTTTTTAGTTTAGTTGTTTTGTGAATATCATATAGCCGCCAAAAGCAAAAAAGGGGGAAAAGACACACACTGGGGAAAATATGTAGGGGATTGGAAAGATAGTAGAAAGGGGGAGAAGGAAGAGAAGATCCACTCGCTAAAAACATTGCTGCTTTTTTAGAATAAATATTTTCGATTTAGCGATTCAATCCCCCAAAAGATCGAAGGATTTTAGGCCATATAATCATTTAAAAAAATTCTTTAAGAATACTATTCTAGCAGAAAAAAATTTTTGTGATCTTTTGGACAAATCCTCTTTTCGTACCATTAAAAAAAATTGGATCGCCTGTCCAGATTAGATTATAGAAAAAATTTTTTTTGTATTTTTATATTGTTGGCCGTGACACGATGATCACATTTTCTCTCTTTTCTTCTCTCTCTATCCCCCTACATCTTTTACTATCCACAATCCAAAATATTCAGGCTAAAATTGAATAAAAAAAGGGGGGATGTGAATATATATATAAAATGCTCTAAAACAAAAAGTATTTTTAATAAAATATAAAAACTGATTTGCATATTTATGTATATAACGGAGGGGGATTTAAAGGGGGGAATAAAGAAAAAAATGTTAAAGACACGATAGATATGTTTAGATTCTATTTAAAAAATGGATTTTTTTTTTGAAATTTTTTGGGGGATTTTTAGTATGTGAATTAAGGGAGAGATGATTGAATTGAGGGAAAAAAATTAAGAAAAAAATTGGAAATTGAGGGAAATATTTTCAAAAAAATTTAGGTCTCATACAAATTAACGGTTGGAAGCCTATATCTTTTGAGGCGATAACAGATAATCCTGAAGAGTTGGTATCAAATTTATTTCGTGAAATTTCAACACATATGACACTTAAAATATTGGCTAAACAGTAAGTTTTTTTTTGAATTTTTTAAAAGAAATTTTTTTCAAATTTTTTAAAATTAGTTTCCACTTGACTAATTTTCTCCAAACTCTTCTTTTTTTTATAATATTTTTCGATATCTCTTTTATTTATTTTTTCAAAAAAATTTTTTTCTTGTTTATCGCGTGATCCTTTCCTTATTTGTATTTACGTTTACCTTATAAAATTTGAGAAAAAATGGGGAAAATAGGAGAAAAAATGACGGGGGATCAATTTGGATCAGCGAGGCAAACTTTCTCCTTTCTTTCCTTTCTTTACTTTCACCAAAAAAAATCATTAAACCTCCTCCCTCCATCTTCAATTTATTTATCTTCTTCCCTTACCTTTCTTTTCTAAAATATTGGCCCTGATAAGAAAAGGATGGATGTATTTTGGATAGGACAAAGTAAAGAAAGGAAAAAACAGGGGGGACTTGTTTGGCCAAAAAAATTTTTTTCTATAATTTCAAAATAATTTTGAAGAAAACAATTTTTAGATATTGTATGTATGTATTCTTAAAGGGGAAAGAGATTAGAAAAGATTAATATAAAAAATATATAAAATTATCTTTATTTTTAAGATAAAAAATTTTTTTTGGATTAAATCGGCTTTTAATTTAATTTTAAAATTTGATAAAAGATTAAAATAAATTTTTTATTTATAAAATTTTAAAAGGGCAAAAAATTTTTGAAAAATTTTTTGAAATTAAAAAAAATTTTTTTTTAAGTTCACAATCCGAATCGAATGGTCAGTGCCTTACAGAATTAAAACAGAGACTTCTCAAAACTGCTATAGAACAGCAACCACGTATTTTGACCACATCAAATGGACAGGAAGTTAAGGTAAAAAAATTTTTTCTGAACCCTTGGAGATTTTCTGACCCCCCCTAGCCGTGGGTTGGGGGTCAAAGTTTTTATAAAAAAAAATTTTAATTTAAAAGGAAATTCTTCAAAACGTCATACAAAACGACCAACAATGTTCTGCTTGGTCTAACCGTGAACAAATGCAAGCAGTTAATGAATGGCTAGAACAGATGGCTACACAACAAGACGAAAATAATAAAAAGAGGTTTTTTTTCGAGTTGAATTTTTTTTTAAGTTTGTTTTTAAAGTTCAAATTATGGAACTCGTTTTAGTCCATTGAGTGAAATGGTTGGTAATTTTTTTTAAAATTAAAAAATTTTTTTGTATCTATTTTAATTCATGAGTCCAATGGAATTTTACGAGTCCGTCTTTCCGAGTCTGTTACCCGCCCCTCTCATTTAGACATTTATTTCCTCCTTTAGATTATAAAATTTTGGTTTGATTCTTAAAAGTTCATTGGACTACTAATCTCTAACAGAGCCAAAAAATTGATTTTTAAAATTTTTTTCTACAGCCTCGTTTGGAACGTTGGTTTCGCTCAGATTCAAATCCTTCAAGACAAAAATTAATTAATTATATGAATATTTTAAATTCTTCCCAATATCGCCGTGCAAACAATAAAGTAACTTATCAACAAATTTGTAATTGGTTTGCGAATCAAAGGAGAACAATGCAACGTTTAGCAGCACAACAACAACAAGCTCAAGCAGTACAAGCAACACAACAATCACAATTGCAGCAACAACAAAGACAATCGTGTTCTTCAAATTCGTCTTCGTCTGGAACTGCTGTAAATGGAATTGTTGGTAATGGAGGAAGTGGACCTTTAGCTATATTACCTTTAAATGCTACTGGTGTTGTGAATAATAATAATATTGCTGCTGTTGAAAATCAAGGTTTTTTGATTTTAATTTTTAAAGTTTATGAGACTCTTTGATTTATTTAGAAAAAATTTTTTGTATATTTTAAATTAGGAATTTAAAAGTAATTTATTTATCGTTTAATATTCCTCTTGTTTTAGTCCAAGAACAATCACAACAAAACCAGTCTTGTTCTTCCGCTTCTTCTCCAGGAGTTGTTGTAAATGTTGGAAGTAATGGTGGAGGAATTCATTCAATGAATAATCAACCTTTGACTACTTTAATGACTTCAAATGCTGTTTCTAATGTTGGAAGTGGGGGAGGAGGAGGAAATATTGAAAATCAGAGTTTGTTTAATTTGAATTTTTTAAATTTAAAATTGGAAATAATTTTAAATTCTTTAGAAACTACGTTGAAAAATTTCGAAATTTTTATAGCCTTTTTTGAAAATTTTTTTTTTAATTTCAAAAAAATCAAAACCTTTTACAATTTCAAAAATTGACAAAAAATCGAAAACTTTTTTACTTAAAATTTTTTCCCCTTTAGCTTCACTTAATCATCAACATCATCAAAATTTAACAAATAACAATTCCAACACCAATTTATTTTATTCATTAGCCTCAGCATTAGCAACAGGTAATATGGATACAGCAATTCATTTACAACAAAAAATGGCTTCACTTTTTGCTTCTGGATTAAATAATTCAAATAATTGTGAAGGAAAATCTGTGGAAAATGACGAGAATAATGTACATATTCCTTTAGCAAATGGCCCTCCAATTGTGGATATTCGTTCAAAATTTGTTGATAATAATGGAAATAATTCTATGGTTTTTTAAATTTTTTAAAGAAACAATATTAGGCACTAGCTCATTAGGTCTTATTCTATAGGGAAGAGAGAGAGGAGGGGGTACATTAAATGGGATTATGGTTGGTATATCTTGGATATCTTCGTATATCCGGATCTGCCAACCAATTCCAGTTTTTCTAAGTACGGATGGAAAAAGGTCAAAAAGTCAAGTTGTATTTCGTGTCTAATTCTGCTTTAAGTCAGTAGGCAGAAAATTAAACTTCTATTTCGATTTTAATTTTTTATAAATTTTGGCCTAAAACTGTCGATTATGTCGATTAAGAATGAATGTCGATTGTCGATTTGAATGTCGATTCCTAGAATTTTTCCGAAGAACCGAGCATTTTTCTTGGTTCGGGTTCAGATATCCAAAAATTTACCAAAAATCAACAATCACTAATGTCTCGCTTTTTTTGTACAATTTTATTTTTTATTACAAAAATTTTTCTTTAAAGGATTTTTCTCACCAACAATCTTGTTCTTCTACAAATGATTCTAATAATAACAACAATTTTTCTTCTGCTTATTCATTATCTGCGGCAAACAACATGGCTAATAATAATACAGCAACAGCTTTAATTAATAATGTTGGTTCTTCACCTTCATATTCTTCTATTTCACGTTAGCGAGAAAAATTTTTTTTTCAAATTTTTTTTAATTTTTCAGCAATAAAATTAGAATCTGGATTACTCAATTTTAAATTAGAAAATGAATTTTCTTCTCCACCCCCACAACAACAAAATATTGACGGACAAAACAATGTTGGGGCAAATGGTGGGAATGGTAATTCTGCTAATCAATCAAGATCGAGATTAATGTTTGATCCGTTGAGTGAATTGGTTTGTTTGCTTTTTTTAAATTTTTTTTTCAAATTTATTTTTGTTGTTTCGGCAGTAGGAATTCTAAACCCTTCCCCTTAAAGCATATCTCTGTTCCCTGCAAGTTTTACTTGAATCCACCTCTTTAATTTGTTCATTCTTTTTCTATTCCGTTTGAATTATTATAGTAAGTGTATGTAAGACTCATTAACTCTCTTCCATTGTCAAATTCGTTATTCAGGTTTACTTTTTTGTTACATAATGGGTGAACAAGATTTTGGGGTTTCCTCCAAAAATTTAAGAAATGAGAGGAAAAATTAAAGTAGGGAAATTGGGTCCTTTACACTGTCCAGATAATAATTTTATTAAAAAAATTTAATTTTTTAAAGCCAATTCTTGAACGCTGGTTTGATGATAATCCACATCCAGGATGGTTACAAATTGAACAGGTTTTTATTTTTTTTTAATTTTTTTAATTTTTATTTTTTAATTTTCTTTTAGTACACTGACTATTTAAATTCAATGACTTATCGACAAAATTATCCACCAGTTTCTACACATAATGTAAAAATTTGGTTTAAAAATAGACGTGCTAAAACTAAAAGGTTTTTCTTAAAAAAAAATTTTTTTTAATTGGATAGCAATTCGATATCCTTTTGGGATTTTTTGTGGTAGAGTCTTCGGGTCGGGGTTTCTTGCCAAAGAAAAATCGTCGGGGTTTCGTGAGCCGGGCAAGCTATCCTATTTTTTAAATGATAAAAAGTTTATTTTTTTAATAAAGGTTGTTGAATAATTCTGAAGCTAGTGGTGTTGTTGGTGGTGGTTCTGCTGCCTAATTATTAAATTAAAAATTGGTGGTTATAAAAAATTAAAGGGAGAGATGATGTTGATATTTGGTCTTCAACTTGAAAAAATCAAAGTTTATATTTAAATTTATACTTTTTTAAATAATTATTATTTTGAGATACCTTTCAATTTTTTTTCAAAAATTCCATTTTTTTGACTTTCCCATTCCTTTTTTAATTGGTTCCTTAATTTAGATCATTTATGAGATTTTTTTCTTGGGTAATGAAGAATTCTTTTCTAAAATTTGGATTTAAATTGGATCTAAATTAAGGTGTATCTTCTCGCTATTTTTTTAAAAATATACAAATTAAAAATATTCACACATTTCTTCTAAATGTTGTAACTGAAATGGAAAAAAAAGTTAAAAATGTCTACTAACAGAAAATTTGAAAATTTAGTTACAACATTAATTACTTATTTTCTAAAGTGGCTTTGACCTCAATTTTTATATTACTTATCTATTTTTTTTTCAGGGCTTTGAGAGAGACCTTTTTATAAATTAAAAAATTATTATTTTTTAAACACAAGGTCTATAATTTTTGACAAAAATATTCAAATTTCCTCTCTTCTTTTATTAATTAAAAAAAATAAAAATTTATTTTTAGCCTTGCCCGATTTTTTTAAAATGTTATTTTATTTACTTAAATATATTTTAAATTTATTTTGTTTAATGAATTTTACTCACTTATGCTATATTTTAATTCTTATAAATATTATAAGAAAATTTTAAAAGAGAATCGATTTTATTAAAAATTTGTATATTTTTTTAACAATTTACTTTATAAATTAATTGACGTTTATTTTTAAATTTTTTTACTCTAGTGGTTTTCTTAAAAGACTTGAAAATTTGAATTAATTTTTAACGCTACTTCATTATGTTAATCGACAAAATGGAATGCATGAAAAGGGTCTGTTACAAAAACAGTACGCGACAAAATGGTACATAGGCAAACTTTTGTAAAACGGTCAAATATTCTTGTACCATTTTGTCAACATGTCTCTTTGTTGCCAATTTGTAATGTACCGTTTTGTCTGAACATCTCTTACTGTTAATTAGAGAAAAAGATTATGTAAAATATGTTGTGTCAGACAGTTAAAGTTTTGTTGTGCACTACAAATGACCAACATTACAAAAAATTCTAATTATATTTTGTGGCAAATTTTTTTGATTAATTAAGTTTTTAGATTAGCTTTTAGTCTATTTATTGTTTTATTTAATGGAATTACCTAATGGCCAAGCTATTCGGCAAAGACGAATTGGAAGTGTTCGAGAAATGGTCCAAGAAGTTGATGCTTTTGTTAAAGTAACAGATGATGTTAAAGAAGAACCAAAAGCTGTTAATGGAATTTGTGAGAGGATTTTTTAGTTGAATTTATATTGATTTTTAATTTATTTTTCAGTGACTGTCCTCAGCTTTACTTTAATTTTTGTTCTATTTATTGGAGAAATTCACAATTATTTTACCAATGATGAAGTTGAATATCGATTTTCTGTTGATACTGATGAAACGTGAGAAGTTTTTATTTTTCGAAGCTAAAATTTTGTTTTTTAAAGAAATCCAATGTTAGAAATTGATATGATTGTTGCTTCACCATGCAATAATTTGGCAGTTATGCCGATGGGTGTTGATTCAGTAGAGCCGACAAAAGATGGAACGCATATAAAGAAAACTCCAACAAGGTTTTTTGTGTTTTAAATATTTTAATATTTTTTAAAAATTGCGTCAAATGTTTAGACTTGTAACTAGGAGGATTGGAAAGAATTAAAAACCCTCATGAAAAATCCTGGCTGTGGGCGGTCCTCCAATTCGGATAAACAATGTGTTATCCGAAAGAGCGTGACTAGCTTATTGTTAACTTGGCTTACAATTGAAACTCAACCTTAATTTTGATTCCATTAATTAACTCTTTCAAATGACATTGTGTGTCCGAATCGGAGTGTGGGACATGTGACATAATTTCTAAAACTTTCTAAATCTAAAAATTAGGTATGAAATGAATGAAGAAGAAGAAAAATTATGGGAAGCATTAAAACGTGTCCATCGTGAACATTTTAAACCAGGAACTCCGTTGAAGGGACTTGATCAGGTTTTTATCAAAAATTGAATCTTTCAATCAATTTAAATTTTTAAGGTAAAATATGTTGGCAGTCATATTGAGGAGGGCTTAGAATTGGCAGAAGAAGAAAAGGAGCGGTTAGAACGTTTAGAATTGGAACAGCAACGAGCCAAATTAAAAGAAAAGAAAGGAGATGATGATGAAGGTTTTCATGAAGAACATATTATTATGATGATTGGAACTGGATTGGGCGTTTTTCAAATTATTGCTGCTGGTAGTGAACGAGGTATATTTAATTTTATTGTGTCAGTCTTTGGAATTATAAGTAAGAAGGGAAATCGGCTGTCTAGCATTTAAAAGCTTACTAGGTTGTGGTTTAAGATTTACTTAAAGAAAAGTTTAAGCAGCACCCTGGTAGCTCAGTCTGTAGAGCACCTTTGTCCTAGCTTCACTTTTAAGAGGTGCCTGGTCGAGGCTTAACATTTATCTCTCACTTAATTTCAAAATATTACCCAATCTTATTTGATTTTTAATAGGTGGAAGTGATGAACTCGAAGAGGGAAGTGCTTGCCGAATTAGTGGTAAAGTTCCAGTCCTCAAAGGAAGTGGTGATCGTTTGACAATTACAATTGGGAAATCTTTGCCTATTGGAAATATGATTCAACATCTTGGGCCTAATCAACGTTTTTTCTTTTCTTTTTAAATTATTTTTAACTGTGCATTTTTAAAGATGGAAATATTTCTCACAGAATAGAAAAATTTCATTTTGGTCCACATATTTGGGGTTTAGTTTCTCCGTTGGCTGGAAATGAACAATATGCTTCCAAACGTTTGTTTTCTTGCTTTTTCTACTTTTTGATTTTCTTTTTTCAGCCAGTACAGTCTACAAATATTTTATTAAAGGTTTCCTTTTTTATTTTTTATTTATTTTCGGGGGAGCCATGATACCAGACGTCGAAATACCAAACTCCCGAAAACGTGGGAAATGCCGAATTTGGGTAAATACAAACTCATATAGGTATTCCATTCAGTTTAAAGGTTGTTATCAATCCGCGTTTTGGTATTTCTGATTGACTTTTGGAGGTTTGGTATTTCGGCTTTTTTGTTATTACATTGTCATATAATTTAAAATTTTTATTTTTTAGTTGTTCCAACTCGTATTTACAGTAAAGGACTTTTATTTGGTCAAAATTATTTGAGTACATATCAATATGCAGTTACTTATTCGGTTTTTATTAGACTTGTTTTTTTTTAATATTTTAATTTAAATTTTAAAGAAACACGAAGCTGAAGGTGATGAACATGTTCACGATTCAATAATTTTTGATTATGAATTTGTTGCTACAGCAATTGAAGTACATCCTGTTTCCATGTTTGTTTTGTCTTTAATTTTTCTAAATTTTTTTTCAATTCTTAAGGTCCTTATTACAATTATCTTTACGTATTTGTTCTATTGTTGGAGGTATTTTTGCAACTTCAAGATTTTTGGAAGCAACAGTCTCTAAAATGGTTACTCTGCTACATTTTTAGTTGTTTTTTTTTGAAATTTCTTTTTATTAAAAAAATATTATTTCAATTAATTATTTCCTATTTTGCTATTATTTTTCCTTCATAATATTTTTTTAAATTCAAGGCAAAATTTTTTTGTTTATTTTTTCTACTGATTTTTCTTCTAGCCTTTAACTCAAAAAATGAAATTTTTTTTTGAAAATTTAGATTCTTTAAAGGCTAACTTTATTTTTCTGAGTTGAAAGATTTAATATTATTGTCAGATTCAAAAATTGTTATTTTTTTATGGTGCTTCTTCAGAAATTCTTTCTAAAATTCTCTCGAAATAATTCTGTTACGCATTCTCTCTAACGGGTCTTTTTTTGTTTTCAGATTTTTTTCTAAATTATTTTCTTTGTTTGTTCTGATTTCTTTGTGATAAAAATTCACTATTATCACTGATACTATTTTGTAAATTTTCTAGTTGATTTTTCTAAAGAATATCTTTATTTTATAGACTTTGAAAGGTTAATTTTGATTAAAATGATTTTTAAGTAGGAGAGAGAATGTCAATAACAGTTTCGGCTGCTCAACTTGGTGAACAAAAACAGAAACAATTTAGGTTTTATTTTTAAAATTCAAAAATCTGTAGAAAATCTTTTTTTTAGTTATTTACCAAAAATCATAAATGGAGGAATTGCAGGAATTGTTGGTGTAACTTGTGTATTTCCTATAGATTTGGTCAAAACACGTTTACAAAATCAAAAAGAATTGCCTAATGGAAAGGTTCAATATCAAGGAATGTAAGGAAGAAAAATTTAATTTTTTTAAGAAATTTTTTTAAATTAAAGTTTGGATTGTGGACGTCAAACATGGAAGAATGGGGGGCCTAATGTTTACAGGTTTTTTATTGATTTTTGTGGGTTAAGTGGTTTTGGGCTGGTGATCTAGTTTGTTTATTCTCTTAGGTTCGATTCCTTTGAGTTGTGGGTTTTCCTTGGAATTTTTTTAAAATTTTTTTGTTGCTAGATGGGTCTGGTTTTTTAAATAACTTTTAAGAATTTACCTAACGGAAATTATTTTGTTGGTTATCATTTTCCTTATGTTTTTATTATTGAGGGTTCGATTCACTTGAGTAGGGGGGTTTCCTCTTTAATCCGAAATTCTTTTTCTTCTTGCTAGATGTGTTTTACATTTTTAGGCAACCTAAACTATTTTTAAGTAGCCTAGAAATTTGCTAAAAATTTATTTTTTAAGCAAAATTCGTTCATTATATTCTGGCTCCAGTGTAAATATTTTGTTGATAACTCCAGAAAAGGCAATAAAATTGGTTGCTAATGATTTTTTTCGTTATAAATTGGCATCTCCAAATGAAAAGTTTTTTTAAATTATAACTAAAAGAATTAAAAAATTTTAAAGAAAACTTTCAATACCAAAAGGAATGCTTGCAGGTGGTGCAGCAGGTTTTTGTCAAATAATTGTAACAACACCTATGGAATTACTCAAAATACAAATGCAACGTTTGTAAATTTTTTTTTAAATTTTTAAAAGTGGATTTAAATAAGACGGGGGTGGTTTTGGGGCACGCTAAGGGAGTTCGAGTTCTAACTTAATTTTAAAAAATAAACAATTCCTTTTACAAAAAGATTTATTTTAAATTAAAAAAAGAATACAAAAAATTTCCCGAAAATTAAAGAAAAAATATTGCGAATATCGCTCAAAAATATTTAAAGTAAAAGAATGTTTTTCCGGAATATTTCTTTTTGTTTACATCTTCTCATCTTCCTTCTAGTCCTTTTCGTCTTCCTTCTTTTCTTCGGCCTTTTGTTCAGCCGTTTTTGCCTTCTCCCCTTCAATTTCTCCGTTTTCTCCAACAATTTTAATTGGAATTTTAATAGCTTTTTGTTTTTCTTCTTGCTTCTTTTCCGGTTTAATTAATTCCGCTGTAACATTAAATTGTCCATTAGAATCAACGCTGCATTCAATTGTTTCCTTTTTAATATTTTTGGGTAATTGAACACGTCGAGTAAATGAACGATGAATTGATTGATGTTCGTCTTCTTTTTTATGTTCTGCAGTAATTATTAATTCTTCTCCATCAATTTTAACTTCAATTTCTCCAGGTCGATAATCAGAAGCATCACAAGAAAATTTGAATAAGGAATCATCTGTTTGACGGATGTTGCCGAGTAAATCGTTACTGAAAAGAAAAAAAATTACTTTAATTAAAAATAGAAAATAAAAATTATTTTTCCTGACAGGGTTCGAACCCTGAGCCCTTACAAAAAAATTTTTGAAATTTTTTTGAAAATTTTCCCTTTTGGGTGTGGAAATATTTTTCTCAAAATTTAACAATAAAAAAATTTTTTCTTACATTTGATGAGTTCCATCATTCAAAATTTGTTCAAATGCTCCATTCAATGTTGGCCAATAAATTGAAACAGTTCTTGGAACATTAAAAAAGTCACCAAAATCATCAAATCGGCGTAAGGAGGAACGAGTTCGAGGTTCGGCTACAGGCCAAAAGAACGGGGAAGAAGAACACAATGGCATTTTTTGTTTGGTTTTGAGAGTTTTTTGAGAGTGGTTTTTGTTTGTTGCTTGAATTTTTGGAATTGTTGGACTGGGAAATTTGAGGCATATTTATAGGGGAAAATTTGGTTAAGAAATAAATTTTCTAGAATATTGTAGAAATTTCTAAAAATAAAAAAAATGAGTGAAGATTTAGTGGTTTAGAAAGAAAGGGAAGGTTCTAGAATGTTCTAGAAAATAAAAAAGAAGACGGGTGGTTGTAAAAAAAGAGAGCCAGCTGACGATTTAATGAGCGCAAATTTTTGGCGTTTTCTAAAAAAAATTTTTTTAAAGAGGCTATTAGAGTCTTGGGGGTTTTGAAATTTTTTTGAAAAATTTTATAGGAAAATTTTTTAAAATGAAGAAATTTTTTTCAGAAGCCAGTTCAACAAGCAAAACATCAGCAACAAAATTAGCTTTAAATCTCATCAAGGAAAAAGGAATATTTGGCTTATACAGAGGATTAGCCCCAACAATGGCCAGAGATGTTACATTTTCTGTTATGTATTTTCCACTTTTTGCTACACTGGATGCATTAGTATGTCTTTAAATTTTTTTAAATTTTTGACACTTTTTAATTAAAAAAATTTTTTCTAAAGGGGCCCAGAAAATCACCTCAAAGTGGAGATGCTGTTTTTTATGCTTCCTTTCTTGCTGGTATTGTAGCGGGTGCTATAGCCTCTTTTTCAGTGACTCCATTGGATGTATAAAATTAAAAAAAATTTTTAATTTAAAATTTTTGAGGTTATCAAAACACGAATTCAATTAATTGAAAAATCCTCAACAGATTCACCCCCATATAGAGGAATATTGGACGCGTTTAGGTAAAAAATTTAAAAAATATTTTTAAAGAAATTTTTTTGTAGAAAAATTTTAAAAAACGAAGGCCCTCGTGCTTTTTTCAAAGGTGCAGGCTGTCGAATGATGGTGATGGCCCCACTCTTTGGTATTGCCCAGATGGTTTATTATATTGGTGTTGCTGAATTTTTACTTGGACGTGAAAAGAGTCAACATATTTAAAATGACTAGTAGGTTCTAAAAAATTTTCTCGGTTTGTTTTTTATCTGTGATCTTTCTTAAAATTTTATTTTTTAATATCTAAATCATTTTTTCAATCTTTTCACTTGCAATAATGTGAATAGGGTTGGCGGTTCTGAACCGAGTTGAACTGAGGATTTTTCATTTTTCGGATATTGGGGTTTGTTCTCTTCCGTTTGGGTATCCAGAGATTTTTCAAGAATCGACAACCGTAAATATTAATAGAATAATAATAATAACTTAGCCAACATTTATGTTAGCGAAAAAAAAATTAGGTGGACTATTATATTCTTAAAGATAATCCCTTAAATAATTTTGGATTTTTTCATTTCTTTTTCTTTAATATTTTTATTAGTGTCCGGTATAAGCATTTTTTCGGGTCCGGAAATAATTTTGAGATTGTGAAAAAATCCTTCCAGTTTTGGATTTCAGACTCCGAAAAACATCGCCGGACACTAATGTTTATTTACCTACACAAATTATATAATAAATATTATTTTATCAAATTTTGTTTATTTCCTCAATATTATTTTTAAATAATTACTACCTTTTTTGATTTTATTTTTTTTTATTTTTTTAAATTAAAGTTTAGGGGGTATTTCAGAAAATGGTTGCAACAATTCCAACTCTTCGCCTCTTTTACCGATTATTTATTATCAAAAGAACAGCAACAAGATTAGCTTCATTAGATACCTCAATAGCCTCACCATCATCTTTTTCGTCAAATAAATTTAATCGTTATGATACAAATTTGAAATTAGTTGAAGCTTTGAATAATGAAAATTTTGATCTAATTGGAAGTCCATTAATTTTGGGAAATAAAACACAGGTTTTTTATTTATTTTAAAATAGTGCTGGGCATGGGTCCGAAGACAGGAAAAATTTGGGAGGGTGAATCAATTTTGGGGAATTTTTTTTCAATCAATTTTGAAATAGCCGGAACAGTGCCCAGGACTTTGAAAATTGAAATAAAGAATTTTTTATTTAGAAGGATTATGTCGAACTTTTCCGTGAACAATTAGATTCTGAAGAAGCATTTTTTACAATGGTCTTTTTTATTTTTTTAAATTAATTTAAAATATAAATTTACAGATTAAAAATACAACTCGAACAAGTGAGTTGGAACCAATGGAAAAATTGATAGAAAGTTGGGAATGGAAAGAACATATTGAAGAAAATTTGAATAGAATAATTGCAGAAAAGCCTATGAGTAAGGAATGTAAGGAGGTTTTTTTGTTAAATAAAGAAAATTTTTGGTAATAAATCTGAGGTGGCACTTGGAGTTCTCGACAAGACTAAATAAATCTAATTGTTAGACTAGATTTTGATTCCATTTTTATAATATGCCGGCTTTAGGGGAGAAAACTGGACTGAGGAGAGAAATTTTTATTAATTTTTTAAATTTTTACACAGTGAGAACCTTTTTCAACAATATCGACACAAAAGAATGTGCAGATAATCTATTATTATTACTTCAATCAATTTTATGTCGTGGACAAAGATCTGTTCCAATAGTTGAATTAAATAAAATTTTTCCAAGAATTATAATTAATTTATATAGAGATCCATTCTTTAGACTTTTATCTGTTGAATATAAAAAGGTTTTTTTTAATTTTTTATTAATAAAAAATTTTCTTTTTTAGAATATTGAATTATTATTTAAAGAATATATAAGATATTATTTGGATAAAAATATTTCAAAAAGATTTACAATACGGGATTGGTGGTAAGCACATATTTTCATTTTTAAAAATTGAAAGACTGCAAAGTCAGTAGTTATGTTGCAGTAATACCTAAGTCCCTAAACTACTGAAATACCAAACTAAAATTCCAAACTTCGGCATTTTTGTCATTAAAGCACGACGCTACGGGTTATCATTGGGGATTTTTTTTTATATATTTTTGTAGGTCTCTTTTTTGATCGAAATTAACAGAATTTTTGGGCCTTAAAATTTTTTAAATTTTATTTCTAATTTATTTTTCAAATAATTCAGCATTTAAATTTAAATGTGGATATTCGTCCATATCTCGAATTAATTTTGATTTGAAAAAATAATTTGGGCCACATTTGCCTCTGTCTAGCCATGGACGTGGAGGGACCTTTCAAAAAATATTTTTAATTTTTTAAAAATTAAAAAAAAATTCAAACCTTCATAGGTAACAAATGACTTTCAAAATACAAATATTCAAATTGATGTCTAGAACAATAAATTTCCGAAATATGATAATGAACTTTTAGCATTTTGCAAAAATTTGTTTTATAACCCAATCCTTCATGTGGATTTAATTCTTCAATTTGAACTTCTCCAATAGAAAAAGCATGTTGCCAACGTTTTTTACCGTTGTTGCTTTCATTTTTTGTTCCTCGATAAAGTGGAAATTCACAATGTTCAATTAGAAAAGAAATAAATAAATTGGAAATCTAAATTGGAAATTTTTATAAAAAATATTGTAGAAGTCCTCACATCTTGAATAGGTGTTTTAAAAAATTCTTCAAATTGGGGAAAATAATCTGGAGGCAATTGAAGTTGAGAAGCACATTTGTACCTTTAGTAAAAGAAATTAAAATTTTTATATTCTTTGAAATAACAGAATTTTGAAAAAGAAATAAAATTTAAAAAATTTTAAGGCCCAAAAATTCTGTTAATTTCGATCAAAAAAGAGACCTACAAAAATATATAAAAAAAAATCCCCAATGATAACCCGTAGCGTCGTGCTTTAATGACAAAAATGCCGAAGTTTGGAATTTTAGTTTGGTATTTCAGTAGTTTAGGGACTTAGGTATTACTGCAACATAACTACTGACTTTGCAGTCTTTCAATTTTTAAAAATGAAAATATGTGCTTACCACCAATCCCGTATTGTAAATCTTTTTGAAATATTTTTATCCAAATAATATCTTATATATTCTTTAAATAATAATTCAATATTCTAAAAAAGAAAATTTTTTATTAATAAAAAATTAAAAAAAACCTTTTTATATTCAACAGATAAAAGTCTAAAGAATGGATCTCTATATAAATTAATTATAATTCTTGGAAAAATTTTATTTAATTCAACTATTGGAACAGATCTTTGTCCACGACATAAAATTGATTGAAGTAATAATAATAGATTATCTGCACATTCTTTTGTGTCGATATTGTTGAAAAAGGTTCTCACTGTGTAAAAATTTAAAAAATTAATAAAAATTTCTCTCCTCAGTCCAGTTTTCTCCCCTAAAGCCGGCATATTATAAAAATGGAATCAAAATCTAGTCTAACAATTAGATTTATTTAGTCTTGTCGAGAACTCCAAGTGCCACCTCAGATTTATTACCAAAAATTTTCTTTATTTAACAAAAAAACCTCCTTACATTCCTTACTCATAGGCTTTTCTGCAATTATTCTATTCAAATTTTCTTCAATATGTTCTTTCCATTCCCAACTTTCTATCAATTTTTCCATTGGTTCCAACTCACTTGTTCGAGTTGTATTTTTAATCTGTAAATTTATATTTTAAATTAATTTAAAAAAATAAAAAAGACCATTGTAAAAAATGCTTCTTCAGAATCTAATTGTTCACGGAAAAGTTCGACATAATCCTTCTAAATAAAAAATTCTTTATTTCAATTTTCAAAGTCCTGGGCACTGTTCCGGCTATTTCAAAATTGATTGAAAAAAAATTCCCCAAAATTGATTCACCCTCCCAAATTTTTCCTGTCTTCGGACCCATGCCCAGCACTATTTTAAAATAAATAAAAAACCTGTGTTTTATTTCCCAAAATTAATGGACTTCCAATTAGATCAAAATTTTCATTATTCAAAGCTTCAACTAATTTCAAATTTGTATCATAACGATTAAATTTATTTGACGAAAAAGATGATGGTGAGGCTATTGAGGTATCTAATGAAGCTAATCTTGTTGCTGTTCTTTTGATAATAAATAATCGGTAAAAGAGGCGAAGAGTTGGAATTGTTGCAACCATTTTCTGAAATACCCCCTAAACTTTAATTTAAAAAAATAAAAAAAAATAAAATCAAAAAAGGTAGTAATTATTTAAAAATAATATTGAGGAAATAAACAAAATTTGATAAAATAATATTTATTATATAATTTGTGTAGGTAAATAAACATTAGTGTCCGGCGATGTTTTTCGGAGTCTGAAATCCAAAACTGGAAGGATTTTTTCACAATCTCAAAATTATTTCCGGACCCGAAAAAATGCTTATACCGGACACTAATAAAAATATTAAAGAAAAAGAAATGAAAAAATCCAAAATTATTTAAGGGATTATCTTTAAGAATATAATAGTCCACCTAATTTTTTTTTCGCTAACATAAATGTTGGCTAAGTTATTATTATTATTCTATTAATATTTACGGTTGTCGATTCTTGAAAAATCTCTGGATACCCAAACGGAAGAGAACAAACCCCAATATCCGAAAAATGAAAAATCCTCAGTTCAACTCGGTTCAGAACCGCCAACCCTATTCACATTATTGCAAGTGAAAAGATTGAAAAAATGATTTAGATATTAAAAAATAAAATTTTAAGAAAGATCACAGATAAAAAACAAACCGAGAAAATTTTTTAGAACCTACTAGTCATTTTAAATATGTTGACTCTTTTCACGTCCAAGTAAAAATTCAGCAACACCAATATAATAAACCATCTGGGCAATACCAAAGAGTGGGGCCATCACCATCATTCGACAGCCTGCACCTTTGAAAAAAGCACGAGGGCCTTCGTTTTTTAAAATTTTTCTACAAAAAAATTTCTTTAAAAATATTTTTTAAATTTTTTACCTAAACGCGTCCAATATTCCTCTATATGGGGGTGAATCTGTTGAGGATTTTTCAATTAATTGAATTCGTGTTTTGATAACCTCAAAAATTTTAAATTAAAAATTTTTTTTAATTTTATACATCCAATGGAGTCACTGAAAAAGAGGCTATAGCACCCGCTACAATACCAGCAAGAAAGGAAGCATAAAAAACAGCATCTCCACTTTGAGGTGATTTTCTGGGCCCCTTTAGAAAAAATTTTTTTAATTAAAAAGTGTCAAAAATTTAAAAAAATTTAAAGACATACTAATGCATCCAGTGTAGCAAAAAGTGGAAAATACATAACAGAAAATGTAACATCTCTGGCCATTGTTGGGGCTAATCCTCTGTATAAGCCAAATATTCCTTTTTCCTTGATGAGATTTAAAGCTAATTTTGTTGCTGATGTTTTGCTTGTTGAACTGGCTTCTGAAAAAAATTTCTTCATTTTAAAAAATTTTCCTATAAAATTTTTCAAAAAAATTTCAAAACCCCCAAGACTCTAATAGCCTCTTTAAAAAAATTTTTTTTAGAAAACGCCAAAAATTTGCGCTCATTAAATCGTCAGCTGGCTCTCTTTTTTTACAACCACCCGTCTTCTTTTTTATTTTCTAGAACATTCTAGAACCTTCCCTTTCTTTCTAAACCACTAAATCTTCACTCATTTTTTTTATTTTTAGAAATTTCTACAATATTCTAGAAAATTTATTTCTTAACCAAATTTTCCCCTATAAATATGCCTCAAATTTCCCAGTCCAACAATTCCAAAAATTCAAGCAACAAACAAAAACCACTCTCAAAAAACTCTCAAAACCAAACAAAAAATGCCATTGTGTTCTTCTTCCCCGTTCTTTTGGCCTGTAGCCGAACCTCGAACTCGTTCCTCCTTACGCCGATTTGATGATTTTGGTGACTTTTTTAATGTTCCAAGAACTGTTTCAATTTATTGGCCAACATTGAATGGAGCATTTGAACAAATTTTGAATGATGGAACTCATCAAATGTAAGAAAAAATTTTTTTATTGTTAAATTTTGAGAAAAATATTTCCACACCCAAAAGGGAAAATTTTCAAAAAAATTTCAAAAATTTTTTTGTAAGGGCTCAGGGTTCGAACCCTGTCAGGAAAAATAATTTTTATTTTCTATTTTTAATTAAAGTAATTTTTTTTCTTTTCAGTAACGATTTACTCGGCAACATCCGTCAAACAGATGATTCCTTATTCAAATTTTCTTGTGATGCTTCTGATTATCGACCTGGAGAAATTGAAGTTAAAATTGATGGAGAAGAATTAATAATTACTGCAGAACATAAAAAAGAAGACGAACATCAATCAATTCATCGTTCATTTACTCGACGTGTTCAATTACCCAAAAATATTAAAAAGGAAACAATTGAATGCAGCGTTGATTCTAATGGACAATTTAATGTTACAGCGGAATTAATTAAACCGGAAAAGAAGCAAGAAGAAAAACAAAAAGCTATTAAAATTCCAATTAAAATTGTTGGAGAAAACGGAGAAATTGAAGGGGAGAAGGCAAAAACGGCTGAACAAAAGGCCGAAGAAAAGAAGGAAGACGAAAAGGACTAGAAGGAAGATGAGAAGATGTAAACAAAAAGAAATATTCCGGAAAAACATTCTTTTACTTTAAATATTTTTGAGCGATATTCGCAATATTTTTTCTTTAATTTTCGGGAAATTTTTTGTATTCTTTTTTTAATTTAAAATAAATCTTTTTGTAAAAGGAATTGTTTATTTTTTAAAATTAAGTTAGAACTCGAACTCCCTTAGCGTGCCCCAAAACCACCCCCGTCTTATTTAAATCCACTTTTAAAAATTTAAAAAAAAATTTACAAACGTTGCATTTGTATTTTGAGTAATTCCATAGGTGTTGTTACAATTATTTGACAAAAACCTGCTGCACCACCTGCAAGCATTCCTTTTGGTATTGAAAGTTTTCTTTAAAATTTTTTAATTCTTTTAGTTATAATTTAAAAAAACTTTTCATTTGGAGATGCCAATTTATAACGAAAAAAATCATTAGCAACCAATTTTATTGCCTTTTCTGGAGTTATCAACAAAATATTTACACTGGAGCCAGAATATAATGAACGAATTTTGCTTAAAAAATAAATTTTTAGCAAATTTCTAGGCTACTTAAAAATAGTTTAGGTTGCCTAAAAATGTAAAACACATCTAGCAAGAAGAAAAAGAATTTCGGATTAAAGAGGAAACCCCCCTACTCAAGTGAATCGAACCCTCAATAATAAAAACATAAGGAAAATGATAACCAACAAAATAATTTCCGTTAGGTAAATTCTTAAAAGTTATTTAAAAAACCAGACCCATCTAGCAACAAAAAAATTTTAAAAAAATTCCAAGGAAAACCCACAACTCAAAGGAATCGAACCTAAGAGAATAAACAAACTAGATCACCAGCCCAAAACCACTTAACCCACAAAAATCAATAAAAAACCTGTAAACATTAGGCCCCCCATTCTTCCATGTTTGACGTCCACAATCCAAACTTTAATTTAAAAAAATTTCTTAAAAAAATTAAATTTTTCTTCCTTACATTCCTTGATATTGAACCTTTCCATTAGGCAATTCTTTTTGATTTTGTAAACGTGTTTTGACCAAATCTATAGGAAATACACAAGTTACACCAACAATTCCTGCAATTCCTCCATTTATGATTTTTGGTAAATAACTAAAAAAAAGATTTTCTACAGATTTTTGAATTTTAAAAATAAAACCTAAATTGTTTCTGTTTTTGTTCACCAAGTTGAGCAGCCGAAACTGTTATTGACATTCTCTCTCCTACTTAAAAATCATTTTAATCAAAATTAACCTTTCAAAGTCTATAAAATAAAGATATTCTTTAGAAAAATCAACTAGAAAATTTACAAAATAGTATCAGTGATAATAGTGAATTTTTATCACAAAGAAATCAGAACAAACAAAGAAAATAATTTAGAAAAAAATCTGAAAACAAAAAAAGACCCGTTAGAGAGAATGCGTAACAGAATTATTTCGAGAGAATTTTAGAAAGAATTTCTGAAGAAGCACCATAAAAAAATAACAATTTTTGAATCTGACAATAATATTAAATCTTTCAACTCAGAAAAATAAAGTTAGCCTTTAAAGAATCTAAATTTTCAAAAAAAAATTTCATTTTTTGAGTTAAAGGCTAGAAGAAAAATCAGTAGAAAAAATAAACAAAAAAATTTTGCCTTGAATTTAAAAAAATATTATGAAGGAAAAATAATAGCAAAATAGGAAATAATTAATTGAAATAATATTTTTTTAATAAAAAGAAATTTCAAAAAAAAACAACTAAAAATGTAGCAGAGTAACCATTTTAGAGACTGTTGCTTCCAAAAATCTTGAAGTTGCAAAAATACCTCCAACAATAGAACAAATACGTAAAGATAATTGTAATAAGGACCTTAAGAATTGAAAAAAAATTTAGAAAAATTAAAGACAAAACAAACATGGAAACAGGATGTACTTCAATTGCTGTAGCAACAAATTCATAATCAAAAATTATTGAATCGTGAACATGTTCATCACCTTCAGCTTCGTGTTTCTTTAAAATTTAAATTAAAATATTAAAAAAAAACAAGTCTAATAAAAACCGAATAAGTAACTGCATATTGATATGTACTCAAATAATTTTGACCAAATAAAAGTCCTTTACTGTAAATACGAGTTGGAACAACTAAAAAATAAAAATTTTAAATTATATGACAATGTAATAACAAAAAAGCCGAAATACCAAACCTCCAAAAGTCAATCAGAAATACCAAAACGCGGATTGATAACAACCTTTAAACTGAATGGAATACCTATATGAGTTTGTATTTACCCAAATTCGGCATTTCCCACGTTTTCGGGAGTTTGGTATTTCGACGTCTGGTATCATGGCTCCCCCGAAAATAAATAAAAAATAAAAAAGGAAACCTTTAATAAAATATTTGTAGACTGTACTGGCTGAAAAAAGAAAATCAAAAAGTAGAAAAAGCAAGAAAACAAACGTTTGGAAGCATATTGTTCATTTCCAGCCAACGGAGAAACTAAACCCCAAATATGTGGACCAAAATGAAATTTTTCTATTCTGTGAGAAATATTTCCATCTTTAAAAATGCACAGTTAAAAATAATTTAAAAAGAAAAGAAAAAACGTTGATTAGGCCCAAGATGTTGAATCATATTTCCAATAGGCAAAGATTTCCCAATTGTAATTGTCAAACGATCACCACTTCCTTTGAGGACTGGAACTTTACCACTAATTCGGCAAGCACTTCCCTCTTCGAGTTCATCACTTCCACCTATTAAAAATCAAATAAGATTGGGTAATATTTTGAAATTAAGTGAGAGATAAATGTTAAGCCTCGACCAGGCACCTCTTAAAAGTGAAGCTAGGACAAAGGTGCTCTACAGACTGAGCTACCAGGGTGCTGCTTAAACTTTTCTTTAAGTAAATCTTAAACCACAACCTAGTAAGCTTTTAAATGCTAGACAGCCGATTTCCCTTCTTACTTATAATTCCAAAGACTGACACAATAAAATTAAATATACCTCGTTCACTACCAGCAGCAATAATTTGAAAAACGCCCAATCCAGTTCCAATCATCATAATAATATGTTCTTCATGAAAACCTTCATCATCATCTCCTTTCTTTTCTTTTAATTTGGCTCGTTGCTGTTCCAATTCTAAACGTTCTAACCGCTCCTTTTCTTCTTCTGCCAATTCTAAGCCCTCCTCAATATGACTGCCAACATATTTTACCTTAAAAATTTAAATTGATTGAAAGATTCAATTTTTGATAAAAACCTGATCAAGTCCCTTCAACGGAGTTCCTGGTTTAAAATGTTCACGATGGACACGTTTTAATGCTTCCCATAATTTTTCTTCTTCTTCATTCATTTCATACCTAATTTTTAGATTTAGAAAGTTTTAGAAATTATGTCACATGTCCCACACTCCGATTCGGACACACAATGTCATTTGAAAGAGTTAATTAATGGAATCAAAATTAAGGTTGAGTTTCAATTGTAAGCCAAGTTAACAATAAGCTAGTCACGCTCTTTCGGATAACACATTGTTTATCCGAATTGGAGGACCGCCCACAGCCAGGATTTTTCATGAGGGTTTTTAATTCTTTCCAATCCTCCTAGTTACAAGTCTAAACATTTGACGCAATTTTTAAAAAATATTAAAATATTTAAAACACAAAAAACCTTGTTGGAGTTTTCTTTATATGCGTTCCATCTTTTGTCGGCTCTACTGAATCAACACCCATCGGCATAACTGCCAAATTATTGCATGGTGAAGCAACAATCATATCAATTTCTAACATTGGATTTCTTTAAAAAACAAAATTTTAGCTTCGAAAAATAAAAACTTCTCACGTTTCATCAGTATCAACAGAAAATCGATATTCAACTTCATCATTGGTAAAATAATTGTGAATTTCTCCAATAAATAGAACAAAAATTAAAGTAAAGCTGAGGACAGTCACTGAAAAATAAATTAAAAATCAATATAAATTCAACTAAAAAATCCTCTCACAAATTCCATTAACAGCTTTTGGTTCTTCTTTAACATCATCTGTTACTTTAACAAAAGCATCAACTTCTTGGACCATTTCTCGAACACTTCCAATTCGTCTTTGCCGAATAGCTTGGCCATTAGGTAATTCCATTAAATAAAACAATAAATAGACTAAAAGCTAATCTAAAAACTTAATTAATCAAAAAAATTTGCCACAAAATATAATTAGAATTTTTTGTAATGTTGGTCATTTGTAGTGCACAACAAAACTTTAACTGTCTGACACAACATATTTTACATAATCTTTTTCTCTAATTAACAGTAAGAGATGTTCAGACAAAACGGTACATTACAAATTGGCAACAAAGAGACATGTTGACAAAATGGTACAAGAATATTTGACCGTTTTACAAAAGTTTGCCTATGTACCATTTTGTCGCGTACTGTTTTTGTAACAGACCCTTTTCATGCATTCCATTTTGTCGATTAACATAATGAAGTAGCGTTAAAAATTAATTCAAATTTTCAAGTCTTTTAAGAAAACCACTAGAGTAAAAAAATTTAAAAATAAACGTCAATTAATTTATAAAGTAAATTGTTAAAAAAATATACAAATTTTTAATAAAATCGATTCTCTTTTAAAATTTTCTTATAATATTTATAAGAATTAAAATATAGCATAAGTGAGTAAAATTCATTAAACAAAATAAATTTAAAATATATTTAAGTAAATAAAATAACATTTTAAAAAAATCGGGCAAGGCTAAAAATAAATTTTTATTTTTTTTAATTAATAAAAGAAGAGAGGAAATTTGAATATTTTTGTCAAAAATTATAGACCTTGTGTTTAAAAAATAATAATTTTTTAATTTATAAAAAGGTCTCTCTCAAAGCCCTGAAAAAAAAATAGATAAGTAATATAAAAATTGAGGTCAAAGCCACTTTAGAAAATAAGTAATTAATGTTGTAACTAAATTTTCAAATTTTCTGTTAGTAGACATTTTTAACTTTTTTTTCCATTTCAGTTACAACATTTAGAAGAAATGTGTGAATATTTTTAATTTGTATATTTTTAAAAAAATAGCGAGAAGATACACCTTAATTTAGATCCAATTTAAATCCAAATTTTAGAAAAGAATTCTTCATTACCCAAGAAAAAAATCTCATAAATGATCTAAATTAAGGAACCAATTAAAAAAGGAATGGGAAAGTCAAAAAAATGGAATTTTTGAAAAAAAATTGAAAGGTATCTCAAAATAATAATTATTTAAAAAAGTATAAATTTAAATATAAACTTTGATTTTTTCAAGTTGAAGACCAAATATCAACATCATCTCTCCCTTTAATTTTTTATAACCACCAATTTTTAATTTAATAATTAGGCAGCAGAACCACCACCAACAACACCACTAGCTTCAGAATTATTCAACAACCTTTATTAAAAAAATAAACTTTTTATCATTTAAAAAATAGGATAGCTTGCCCGGCTCACGAAACCCCGACGATTTTTCTTTGGCAAGAAACCCCGACCCGAAGACTCTACCACAAAAAATCCCAAAAGGATATCGAATTGCTATCCAATTAAAAAAAATTTTTTTTTAAGAAAAACCTTTTAGTTTTAGCACGTCTATTTTTAAACCAAATTTTTACATTATGTGTAGAAACTGGTGGATAATTTTGTCGATAAGTCATTGAATTTAAATAGTCAGTGTACTAAAAGAAAATTAAAAAAAAATTTTTTTTAATTGGATAGCAATTCGATATCCTTTTGGGATTTTTTGTGGTAGAGTCTTCGGGTCGGGGTTTCTTGCCAAAGAAAAATCGTCGGGGTTTCGTGAGCCGGGCAAGCTATCCTATTTTTTAAATGATAAAAAGTTTATTTTTTTAATAAAGGTTGTTGAATAATTCTGAAGCTAGTGGTGTTGTTGGTGGTGGTTCTGCTGCCTAATTATTAAATTAAAAATTGGTGGTTATAAAAAATTAAAGGGAGAGATGATGTTGATATTTGGTCTTCAACTTGAAAAAATCAAAGTTTATATTTAAATTTATACTTTTTTAAATAATTATTATTTTGAGATACCTTTCAATTTTTTTTCAAAAATTCCATTTTTTTGACTTTCCCATTCCTTTTTTAATTGGTTCCTTAATTTAGATCATTTATGAGATTTTTTTCTTGGGTAATGAAGAATTCTTTTCTAAAATTTGGATTTAAATTGGATCTAAATTAAGGTGTATCTTCTCGCTATTTTTTTAAAA